TCGACTACCTCAACTTCTGAAACCTGAACTTCTAAAGGCCTCAACCTAAGAACCCTCCTCAAACCTTTTTCTGAATGCTTCAGGCCCCAGACCCAACTTCTGAAAACCCCTTTCCTCAACTCCTCCATCAGACTCACCTCCTCAGCCAAGGAGCAAAGGGTGGACCAGTTCACCACCTTGGCCACCACGCTGCCCTCCCAGACCTCATTCTCAAAGCTCACCTCCTCGAAGGATGAGGCCTGGGTCATGTGCCTGACCCGGTCACTGAAGCCTCAGTTTTTGCATGAAAAGACTCAACTGCCCCTGCCCTCAACCCTCAACCCTCAAGCCTCAAACTCAACTCCTCCTATCCTCAACTCTTGCCTCAACTCCTAATACCTCAAATATTAAGAGCACCAATCTATCTAATCACATGGGGGCTTCTAGAGTTTTCTTTGGTGCCCAAACCTCAAATCCTCAAAGCCTCAAGCCTCTTAACCTGAATTCCTAAAGGTCTCAACTGCCCCACCTTCAACATCCTGAACAACCCTTCCCCTCCAAACCCTCAACTCTTACAACCCTAAATCCTTTGATCTGCTTGCAGTAAAAGGGGCACCCCTTCCTCAACTGCCTCCTCAAACTTCAACCCCTCAAACTCTCAACCCTCTAATCCTGAAAGCCTCTTGGAACCCTAAAACCTCAATTGCTCCTACCCCAAACCTCAAACCTCAAGCCCTTAACCCCTCCTACCCCCCAACCTTCAAACCTCAACTCCTCCAAGCCTCATGTCTCCTAATTAATGCCCTCAACCCTCAGCCCTCAGCCAAGCAGCCACCCCAGCTGGCATCCATGCGCAGCTCGATGTGGCTCATGCGAAGGCTGATGTGGGTGAGCCTGGGCAACCAAGGAACCAACCCTCAACTCCTAACACCTCAGACCTCAACTCCTGGAAGCCTCAACTCTTTGAAACTTCAACTCCTCCTAATTATTTTCCACAAACCTCCACTCCTAAAAGCATCAACCCTTAGAACCCTCAAACCTCAACCCAAAAGCTTCAACTCTTAGAACCCTTAAACCTCATCTAACCCTCAAACCTCAACTCTTGGCCTAATCTCAACAGCTCAAACCCCAACTCCCAAAAACATCAACTCTTAGAACCCTCAAACCTCAACTCCTCTCAATCGAGCCCTCAAACCTCAACTCCTGGAAGCCTCAACTCTTAGAACCCTCAAGCCTTCCTCTCAATCTAACCCTCAAACCTCAACTCCTAGAAGCCTCAACTCTGAGAATCCTCAAACCTCAACCCCTCCTAATCTCAACACCTCACACCTCAACCCCTCTCAAACCTCAACTCCTGGAAGCCTCAACTCTTTGAAACTTCAACTCCTCCTAATCATTTTCCCCAAACCTCCACTCCTAAAAGCCTCAACTCTTAGAACCCTCAAACCTCAACTCCTAAAAGCCTCAGCTCTTAAGACCCTCAAACCTCAACTCTTGGAACCCCCAAACCTCAACTCCTCCTACCCCCAGCCTCCAAGCATGAACTCCCAACAACCCTCAGCCTTCAAACCTGAACTCAAAGCATCTCCTTTTTCTGCCAAGGCTCCAATCCACCGTGCTCTTGAGGTTGTTCGTGTCCTCCTCTGCCCTCTCCTCCACCTTCTTCTTCTTACTCTCCTCCACCATCTTGCCATGCAGGTGGCCGATCCTTGGCTGCCACAGCAAACCCTGCACCTCAACCCTTACAACCCTTAGCACCCCCAAGCCTCACTGACCCTCTCCTTTCAGGGCAAAAAAACAGCCTATAAGTCACTGCCCCGGCCTTCAAATAACAAATACCCCAATTGCAAGCCAAAGCTGCAGCACTCCCACCGCCAGCGTGCCCATCACCAGCACCACCTTGTTCCAATCCTGCCTCAGGCACTCACTTGAAAACCCACCCCTTCAAACCCCCACTGTCTCTCTCTCTCTGCCATTCACCCTGCAACCAAGGCACATCATGGTGCCTGACCTCTCCTCACCTTGCCTGATCACCTCACCTCACCTGCTTGAGCAGCTGAAATGGCCAGCGGTGTTGGGGGACCTTCCCACAAGGTTGTCCTGACCTGACTTTTTCCCCCAAATTCTTTGATTTGGAAACCCCCTATTAATCAACCATAAGAAAGGCCCCCCGTGGTTGCTTTAAATCCTGGCCTTCCCACAAGGTTACCTGACATGACTTTCCCACAAGCTATCTTCAAGCCCCTGATGAACAATTCTTAGATTTGGCACCCCCTGTTAATCAACCATAGCCTTCAATATAATTCTCTGATTTGCTATAAATCCTGGCCTTCCCAGAAGGTTTTCCTGACCTGACTTTTTCACAAGCTACCTTCAAGCCCCCAAATTCTTAGATTTGGCACCCCCTATTAATCAACCATAGAAAGGCCCCCCTGGTTGCTTTAAATGCTGACCTTCCCACAAGGTTACCTGACATGACTTTCTCACAAGCTACCTTCAAGCCCCCTAATTATTGATCAACAATTCTTAGATTTGGCACCCCTATTAATCAACCATAGCCTTCAAAAGAATTCTCTGATTGCTTTAAAGCCTGACCTTCCCACAAGGTTCCCTGACCTGACTTTTTCACAAGCTGCATTCAAGCCCCCTAATAGCTGATCAACAGTTCTGTGATTTGGCACCCCTATTAATCAACCATGGAATGGCTCCCCTGGTTGCTTTAAATCCTGACCTTCCCACAAGTTACCTCTTTCTCACAAGCTACCTTCAAGCCCCCTAATTATTGATCAACATTTCTTAGATTTGGCACCCCCTATTAATCAACCATAGGTTTCACAAGCTACCTTCAAGCCCCCAAATTCTTTGATTTGGCCCCCCCTATTAATCAACCATAGAAAGGCCCCTCTGATTGCGTTTCATCCTGACCTTCCCACAAGGTTCTCTAACCTGACCTTTCCACAAGGTTCCCTGACCTGACTTTTTCACAAGCTGCCTTCAAGCCCCCTAATTACTGATCAACAATTCTTAGATTTGGCACCCCCCTATTAATCAAAGGACTCTCTGATTGCTTTAAATCCTGACCTTCCCAGGTGAGGGAACCTTGTGGGAAGGTCAGCATTTAAAGCAATCAGAGTTGTATCTCTTTGGTTGATTAATTGGGGGTGCCAAATCTAAAGAATTTGGTGGTCTTGAAGGTAGCTTGTGAAAAAGTCAGGTCAGGGAACCTTGTGGGAAGGTCAGGTCAGGGATCCTTGTGGTTTGTAAGAAGGTCAGGCGAGGGAACCTTGTGAACTTCCCACAAGGTTCCCACAAGGTTCCCTGGTCTGACCTTCCTACAAGGTTCCCTGACCTGACTTTTTCACAAGCTACCTTCAAGCTCCCTACTTATTCATCAACAATTCTTAGATTTGGCACCCCCTGTTAATCAACCATGTTCTCCAACAGCCTCCAAAAACCCCTCTGGCCTCAAAAGTCATGACCTTCCCACTCACCTGACCTTCAAGCCCCCCAAATTCTTCTGGCACCCCCTATTAATCAACCAGAGAACTACAACTCTGCTTGCTTTACATGCTGACCTTCCGACAAGTTTCCCTCACCTGACCTTCCCACAAGGTTCCCACAACCACAAGGTTCCCTGACCTGACCTTCCTGCAAGGTTCCCTGACCTGACTTTTTCACAAGCTACCTTCAAGCTCCCTAATTACTCATCAAAATTCTTAAAATTTGGCACCCCCTATTAATCAACCATGTTCTCCAAAAGCCTTCAAAAGACCCCTCTGATTGCTTTAAATCCATTCTATAGGTTCCCTGGCCTCACAAGTCATGACCTTCCCACAAGGTTTCCTCACTTGACCTTCCCACAAGGTTCCCTCACCTGACCTTCCCACAAGGTGCCCTCACCTGACCTTCCCACAAGGTTCCCTCACCTGACCTTCCCTCAAGGTTCCCTCGCCTGACCTTCCCACAAGGTTCCCTCACCTGACCTTCCCACAAGGCCCTGACCTTCCCACAAGGTTCCCTCACCTGACCTTCCCACAAGGTCCTGACCTTCCCACAAGGTTCCCACACCTGACCTTCCCACAAGGTCCTGACCTTCCCACAAGGTTCCCTCACCTGACCTTCCCACAAGGTTCCCCCACCTGACCTTCCCACCAGGTCCTGACCTTGTGGGAAGGTTCCCTCACCTGACCTTCCCACAAGGTCCTCAGGACCTTCCCACAAGGTTCCCTCACCTGACCTTCCCACAAGGTTCCCCCAACCTGACCTTCCCACAAGGTCCTGACCTTCCCACAAGGTTCCCTCGCCTGACCTTCCCACAAGGTCCTGACCTTTTCACAAGGCTCCCTCACCTGACCTTCCCACAAGGTTCCCTCACCTGACCTTCCCACAAGGTTCCCTCACCTGACCTTCCCACAAGGTCCTGACCTTCCCACAAGGTTCCCCACCTGACCTTCCCACAAGGTCCTGACCTTCCCACAAGGTTCCCCCACCTGACCTTCCCACAAGGTCCTGACCTTCCCACAAGGTTCCCTCACCTGACCTTCCCACAAGGTCCTGACCTTCCCACAAGGTTCCCTCACCTGACCTTCCCACAAGGTTCCTAACCTTCCCACAAGGTTCCCCTTCCCACTATTAGGGGGGGGCCCTCAAAAAAATGACAGACCTGACCTTGTGACCTTGAGGGGGGGGGGGGGGAGGGGGGGCCGGTTTATTAATCCGGGGTCTGCATTACCCTATTGCGTGACTGTGCAACTGATGCTACCAGACACGGCTGTAGCGCTCATGCTTTATTCTATTGTCCTTCACTCCCGCGAGGTGCGCTAGAAAAATTTGACAGCCTGAAGCCGCGGGAGCCGGCGGAACACGCCAACGGCGGTTAAATATTAAACCGGGAAACAAAAAAAAAGAAACTTGAAGGGGGTAGGCCCTTTGGGGTGAATTTCAGCAAAACCTCACGAAAACCCACAAGAGCAACAAAAGACCAGCTCTGTCGAGCCTGCGACGACACCCAACAAACTCTCCTTCATGGTTCTGCTGAGCTCAGTGAGCGCCTGCTTGTTGGAACCTCGGTGCGGGTACGCATACCGCCGGAAGGAAATGGTCCGGCACCCATCTCACCGGGATGGAAATGCCGACAGCAAATCCACAATAAGTCTCAGGAACTTTGAGCAGATTTGCTCTGAGGTTCTGGCAGGGGGGCCGAGCAATTGACACCAAAGTAAGTGAGTCATTAACTTCCGCATGCCGCTAAGCTTGAACCAACACACTCACATTTCATTCCCTCCACTGCCTCTTCAGGCCATGCCAAACCCTGCATGCCAACCTTCTACCTTTGGCGTCAACTTGCACTGAAGATCTGCTTGGGTTGAACTGAGGTTGTCAATACTTGGTTGTGGGTCAAAAACAAATCCACAGGGGACCGCAGGTTGCAGTCCTTGGTTCCATTTGCCAAGGTTCCATTTTAGATACCTATTGTTGACCCACAGCCATTTGGATTCGCTGATGTTGACTCAGGGGTGCAGTGGGCCAAACTTGTACCTCTGGAGGCCTTCGTCGCGCAGGCAAGATCAAAACGGGAAAGCGATGCCGCATGATGCCGCTGCCTTGGTTCACCCGGGCCCAAACCAGGGCAGTGTGGTCAATGTGACAATTTTGTAGTTCAAACGATGAGCTTCCATAGGTGGTGCCGCTCCCTGGACGTACGGGTTGACGCACATCGCCTACAATCACCCACACGTCATGCACCACAATTCTAACCAGTGCCGGCTATGCAAAGGTCTGCACAGGCATTGAGCAATCGCTGAAACACGTGCAGTGTACGAACGGTGCCAGTGCTGGTGATTTAGCAAGAGGTCGCACTTCGATTGGCTCAAATCCTGAACTTCTATCAATATTTGCTTTTTCCCACACCGCCGCGCCCCCAATACTACTGTTAGATTGGGCCAATTCAAAACCAATACGCAACTGTCGGATGTCTCGCCCAGACCAGCCCCAGCCTTATTAGGGGGTGGGTAATTAGTCCAGGACCCAAGCTCCTTGCAACAACCCAAACACAAGCTGAGGGTGTTGTTTTGAACCAGCTTGTAATTAGACAGAGGGGCTTCACTGTCCTGCCTGCCTTGCCTTTGCGTTTCCCTGCCTGGCCTGCCTCTGTCAAACCATATTTATTCATTGGGGGGTTGTTGGGAACCAAAAGGTAAACAAAGGGGCTGTCCTACCTGCCTTGCCTTTGCGGTTCCCTGCCTGGCCTGCCTCCCTGAATTCATATTTATTAATTGGGGGGTTGTTGGGGACCAAAAAAGGCAAACAGAGGGGCTTCACTATCCTACCTGCCTTGCCTTTGCGGTTCCCTGCCTGGCCTGCCTCCCTGAAACCATATTTTCAATCGGGTGTTCTTTAAACAACAGGTCAATGTGCTTTTTAAGCGACGGGTAAACAGAGGGGCTCCCTGTCCTGAAAAGGGCGCGCTTCAAGGGATGAGTATACTTGTTTTTGATTGCTCTTTCAATAAATATGGCTTGTCCCCCAGCCAGGTCTGTGTTTATTCTGAGTCAATTATGAGGGGGAAGCGACTATACATTTCGACGTCCAATCTAAGTGGTGTGTTCATTCAACAGTGTTCGAGGTGATGCTGGCATGCGATGCGCGCCTCACGTTTCGATCGGCTCTTCACCTGTGCCGAAGTCCGATCTGTAGAGCCTGTTGAGCTCGTCGGTTTTTTGCTCGTGCTGTGTCGTTCCAACATGAGGAACAGGCGGTTCGTCGTCTCGCCCGAGACTGCCTTCGCGGCTAGCTCGCACCAATTCAAAGATTGCATCAGTTTTTAGGTTCATATCAAGACTTAGTCGGACTGCCTGCGACAAGGCCTCCAGTCTCCAGCCAGCCTCGCCCTCGCTCCTTGTCCCTGTCCAGCTGAAAAAGGAGCGACCCTGGTTATAAAAGGGAACCGCTGTTTTTTCTATTTGAACCAAGCGCAAGCGCGAAATCCACTAAATCCACTGAACAATTAATCTATACCGCTCGGTGTCAAACAAGGGGTTGCTTTCCTCTTGAGTGTCTCAAGTACCTGATCATTCATTCAAAGTGGTGCACAGAAGAAAGCAATTGCCTCCGGTTTGCGGGGTAGTAAAGCGCTTTATGTTTCATTTGGGGCGCTTGGGGGAGGTTCAAGCGAACGCCTTCGCTCCATGTGTGGCGAAACGTCAGGGCCGCTGCTCACCAGATTGAGCTGCTCTTGCTTGCGGTAGTGCAGTGACCTGCCGCGTGCCAAACCGAGGATGTTTTGACGAAGAAGCTCTTATGTTGTTCACTTGGGGTGTGGTTGTCAGAAATCCGGCAACCGCAAAATTGGAACTCTGGCAAATGAAAACAGTGACTGAAACCAGCGGCCCAATTCCTGGTGGGTTAATTTTGACCCACAGCCACTTCAAACATTCGGTGGTTCAAAACCCAGCTATCTTGGGGACGGCTTGAAACCTTCGGTGAGGACACCCCAAGACAGCGACCTTCATCACTACCTTCGCCATGAAGTCGCACAAACCCCGTCGCATCCTGTCGCAACTATTTACCCCCATAACTTATGTCCAGAGCATTGCATACCACAAGCCCAGTGAAGCGCAACATAAAACATGTCGGTGGCTTTCGCGAGGCCCCGCAGACACAAAACGGCAGCTGAGCTTGGAAGGCCGATGTCCCGTCAACGGAACCGTCTGATGCCTTCTCTTTTTCTCCAGATTCCTTGTTTAGCGTCGTCGCCCCAGAGTTCAACAGTTGCTTTCCCAGCCAGTCTCCTTGACCTTGATAGAGACTAATGGGGGCACACACACAAACACCTGTGATGACAGGTAGGCTACTAGCCAATAAGCTGCATGCTCCGCAGAGAATCACCGTCTCTTGAGTTTTCTTCTGAAGGAAATTAGGAATTATGGCTTGCGTAGAACCTCATCCGGACCACGCTCAAGCACTCCAAACCCGCCGATCCTTGATCAATGGCTTGGATACTTTTGTGCCAGTAGTCATCCATCAACAAGTGAACATTTACTATGGCCAAAGCGCTGCCTCTTGTAGAGCCGGCAATCCCACCATCCATCGGAATGCTTGCAAGCTACAACAAAAACATGAAGAACACGAGCCAACAAGCAGGAAAGTCCAAAAACAACACAGCACTCAAGCGGAAGAAGACAAAAAAACACAAAAATGTGGAACAACTGTAAAAGCAGGCAAAGTAAGGAAGTAGGAAAACAATCAAACAAGGACGGAGAGAAACACAAAGCATAAGCGAACTCAGACTCCCCTAACCTAACACAGCACCAATCCAAACCACCAATTCAAGGGGAGCTGACCAACTTTCAACCCAGGTCATCGGAAGATAACATTGTTCTGTGGCAACGCAGTGATTTCCAACCTGGCTGTCAAACTAGGGATTTGGAGCCCAACACCTGGATTTAGGCTTTCTGGTTGGCTTCCCTTGACTCCAACATCTTCGCATTGCCTCAAGAAACACCACCTGGATGACCCAAGTCTTCCCTGGAGCCTCTCGAAGTTGGGATTGGTGGCATCCAGCGGGGACTTGTTCACCATCTTGGCGTTCCGGGGAGGCGCCTGCCATTCGCCGAGGTCCAATGGGAGGATTGCGGGGGATATATAGCTGCGGAGCTCGCTATTGGGAGAATACGTCAGATGCCAAAATGGACTAACGTTGAGCTAAGGTTTCTGGGGGGATTCGGGGGTCGCCGGGGAACTGCAAGCTCCCATGTGAAACCAAGGGACCTTCTTCTACAAGAATTCCAATGGCTCGAGCATGGCGATGACTATGGAAGACGACCCACTAGCAGAAGTAATATGTGGAATACATTTCATCTACTGGTTCCCGCAATGCCCGCTAGGCACTACAGGGTCCCTTGAGACCCAGCTCTCCAGTACCCACCACGGTCTGTCTACCCCCCCACCCGAACCTCACGAAGTCCGGCTTGTTTCGGGTTTCTTGGTAGATGCAGTCAAGCCAGCCCAAACCGGAAGACATCGCACACCTGTCCGAAAGACATGGGACAACAAAGCAATAATAACTCGTCTCCTCCAAATCATCGTGATGGGCAAGCCCTACTTCGATCTCGCGATGCGCTTTTTTGCAACACCCTAAACCCAGCCTGATCGTGAATCGAGTCCTCCTCAAGGTCGCTATCATCTTCGTCCGGCTCCACCTGCAAAACAAACTACTAATCTAGCACATCTTAGACCCTTCCACTGCTTTACGTCATGGTGGTTGTTTTTAGCACTTTCCCAAAAAAGCGCCAGTCGCCATAATTTCTAGCTGGTGGCCATCAGAGCGGGACATTCCTCATGGATTTGTCTGAGTGAAGTACACAACATGTCCGATGAACAAAACAGCGAGCTCTATGAAAGGAACTCTTTGTAAGCTGCTACATACTTTGCCCAGATTTGTTGATGCTGAAGAGATCTGCCAGTTCTCCCCGTCACTAGTCCTCATCTGCGTTGTTTTATTTCCGGCCAAGGAAGCTGATGGTCGTCCCACGGTCCAGGCCCACAACCTACGGTTGAGTAGGACACAAACAAATGGCACCGCCTATGCCCCCAAAGAAAGAAAGCTAAACGACACGCAAGCCACAGGGAAAAGATGAGCATCGAAATGACATGGGAGTTTGGTAAGTACCGTGCCAACTAACATGGAACTACTGTAATCTTAGGGAAGTCTCTTAAACGCATTGTCCTCTAAAAATGATGGCTTGGGTCCATGTTACTCCCCAAAAACAGACTCCCCCAAAAGAAGCTTGCTCTATCATGGGCGTTCTGGGTTCCTTCTGGAAATTTACTCGTGGTTGCTATTGACTCCTCTGCGAAAAGTTCGACTTTTGGTCCAATGGAACGTTCGGGGGGTCCTTGTTGGGACCATGTTTCTTTTCAAGGGACCAGGTCCCGAACGTCAGGTTCCATGTAAAAAAGGTGAAACGGGTACCCTCAAACAATTCACAAAGCCATTCTCTGTTGCTCTAGGGCCTGGGGGTTGATTCCCCATTGGTTTCAACCTTTGTTGGCTACGCACTAACCTTGCTTGTGCTCAGTAGGCAATGTGGGAATGAACCCAGAGGTCCCCGAAAAAGGGAACCATAGGATTGGATGGCTCTTGGGGTCATTCCACTTCTCAACTCCCTGCGCACCGGCACACCCATGGCAGCTAACCTAGGTCCTCCAGTAGAGAGGTTAGAATAAGGGTACCCTTTTTTCTGTAGTCTATTTTAGTAGGGGCACCCTCCCCACCAAAAAAGGGGAGAGAAGGGCACTGGATGAAGGAAATCCTGCACCACTTGAAAACCATGGGACACCATTGCTTATTGGTATTTACCGCGGATTCATTCCAGGGTTTCGTAGGTGGTGCAGGAGTTTGTCCATCCACGGTAGTAAAGCCCCCGACCTCCGCACGCCCCGCGTGCGCCCCGCGTGCGCCCCGCGGGCCCCCCCGCGGGCCCCCCCGGCGGGCCCCCCGCGAGGCCTCCGCAGCCTCCTCGGCCCGGCTGCCGGAGCCGGAGGGGCGGCTGGACTCCGAGCGGCCCGAGCGCCGGGAGCGCCCGGAGCGCCCGGAGCGGCCCCTGAGGCGCCCACCCGGCTGGGGGAGAAACGGTCACATGGGTGTGTGTGTGTGTGTGGGTGTGTGGGTGGGTGTGGGTGTGTTTTTTGAGGGGACCCAAGAAACATCGCATGGGTGCCAAACTTGTTTGTATTGGGGGGCCTGCCACAATGGTGCTTTTTGCCTTTGGTTTGCTTCTAAAGCCACTAAAAGAGGGGTGCCCCCCAAAAAACAACACACCCACATGTGTCTCACATCCAGGGAAATGTTACACAGAAAGTCATATTTTCTGACTGTTCCATCGGCTACCCTCAAATAGTAGACCGGCATTGACCATGTGGACCCCAAACAACATGTGTGCAGTTTATATAGCAAGGTGTTGTCAAATCAATGAGCGTGGATAATTTCACAATGCTTTGCACGCCACACCGGGCTGGGCGACGTATGAACATGTTGTGAAGGGAGCGTGCTTGGTTCGTCGAGAGACATCTGGTAATTGAAACTTCGTTGGATCTCGATCGGCTTTTCTGACCATTCACACTCGCCGCACTGCTGCGCACATGCATGGGACGGAAGCTTGTTCGCTGAAACTTCACCAGCATTTAGGTGTGGAACCAGGGCAAGTAATTAGCGCAAAACCTGGGAGCCCTGACTGAAGAAACTCACAGGAGGTCTGGGGTATCAGACCTACTTAGTTTGCATTTGTTGCAATATCAGAGTCTCGTCGTTAATGGCAATGCCTGTATAAGTGCGTACATTTGCTGCAAGGAGGTCTCGTGTTGGGGTGACTCGTGCCGCGTTCCTAATATAATTCCGCATGGTGACTTAGAGCACACTTAGTTGGCATATATGAGGGTGTCTCGGTTGTACAATTGTGTGATCTGCTGTCTGGCATTCTGCAGCTTTCAGTGTATCCACATCATCATCAAATAGTAAGGAAACCGCAAGGAATGTAAACGGATTCTTAGTTCGGCTCGGAGCAAATGTGACCCAACCTTCTGGACTGGCAAAGCACAACGACACCGAAGCTGGCGAAAAGGATCCATGCTCCGGTAGGCGGCCCCTGTTCGGATCTTTGGCGGCGCATTGACATCGAGGTCAAAGAGTCCAAGAGGGCCTTCTACCTCATGTCTGGCACACCCCGCATTTTTCTAACACCGAAAGCAATCAGCATCCTTGCGGGCACTTTGCGCCGTTTGAGACCCCAGAGTACAATTGAGCAAGCGCCGAAAAAAACCATTGTTGGTTCCACCAAAATGAGGTTTATACAGTCCTTTCCATAATCGCTAGACCAGGCTAACATGGAACCACAACACACCTACCCCAAAAGGAGATTTCTCTAACGCCGTTGGTTTTGCAGGCTCCAGCCGCCGGAGTGCAAGGGGCTTTGTGCCCGGTAGACATCTCCGGACACTGTGGCTCCACACGTCCTTCCGGTCATCTTGGAGTGCGCGGACCTGTGGCGTATCGGTCTTGGGCCAACCAAACATCCATGTGGTTTCAACGTTGGGAAATTTTTGTCTTCATCAGACAGTCAAGCACTGCTTGTGCGTCAAATTACTCCGTGCTCCAGCCGTTTCACATGGGCAGAAAGTTGGCCCTTGGAAAGGAAAACCGGAGGCGGAAATAGAAATGGTTGCTGCTCTGGGAGTATGCTTGAATCCCTCAAAACATGCAAGCAACATGTTCAGATATGTTGAGGGTATAAAATGCAAAGCCCACCCCCTGCCACCCGGTGCTGTTCTCGTAGTCTTACAATCAGATCAATTCACTCTATCTAAATCTAGAACTGACATCCACTTGGCTCACTTGCAAAAGAACCCGGGAAGAAATGCACAAAACCGGTTGTGAACCAAAACTGGCTATAGGGAAACCACCAAAAAGATGGTATTTCCCACTAAATGGAATATTGATCAACCCCCATCACAATTAGACTTAGGCCCAGTTATAGAATGTATATTATATTGTTTGCTTCCCTTTGAGTCACTGGTAAAAGGAAAAATGTAGCCGAAGTCTACCAAGCCATGTCATAGTTCCCTTGGCCGTCTGTGAGGCCCATGAGTTGCATGGCAGTCTGGTCTTCTCGGGGTCCGGGCTTGGCATCATCCGCGCAGCCGCCGTGGAGCTCCCTCTCGTTCACAAAGTCCCCATACCTCGCACGAAAAAAAACAAAATGAAAAGCGTCACCGGGCACAGAGCAACATGCCCGCTAATTGCTGGATAACATTTAAGTATCTATAAGTACCATACTATACTTCCAAGGGCCCTCTTCCTTAGGATGCACATCTACGGCCCCTTTCGGAATGTTGAATGCTCCAGGGAATCAAGTTTCCCCGAGCAAACGAGTCAAGGCTCGAACTTTCAGTGCATAAGCAGGTCAGGCATGCATGCAGCATGCATGCATTATGTGTGAGTCTTGATATGTTGGACACTTTCTAGCAGGACACGAACAAAGTGTCCGCTAGAAGTGGGCCTTGTTCTGCTCAATCTTGTGTTAGACACTTGGGACATGTTCTCTGAATGAACCGTGTTTCCCTAAGCAACGTCTAATCCAAATCGAAGACACTCAAGCATACAAAAAAGAAGGCGCAACGAGAAGGGGTCCGACATGTTGATACGGGCATGCACACACACACTCAAGCACACACTGAGTGAGCGCTTGACACAGAAGAAAAGACACGCACACAGTCACACACACACACACAAACAAACAAACACACAAACAAACAAACAAACAAACAGAAAAACAAACAAGCAAACAAGCAAGCAAGCAAGCAAACAAACAAACAAAACACACACACACACACACGCACACTGTTTAGGCACGCAAGGCACGTACGTAAGGCAGTTTCCAGTTTGCCGTCAAACGGTCAAGACTCCTGCATGGATCAAATCTCTCACCACAGCAGAGTCAGACCAGTCAGGTCAGTCAGATTCAGTCAGCCCTCAGCCATAGATAGATTAGCTTCCCGTCGGAACCTCATGATCATGAAGCAAGCAATCTAACAAACATAATGTTTCGCCTGCTCAGAACCATCGCCATTGGATCCAATGGCATGCTTCCTGAACAACTACAGATCGCATTCCGAGAGCAAAGTAATTCGCCCTCAACAGCTTCCTTGTTGCTCGTTGTTGAACACGTCAACGGACTTGCTGGGTGAGTGCTCACAGTGTGCGGCCTTGTCGGAGCGGCTTGCTCTGGCGGCACAGCACATTCCTCCCAACATGTTTGCTGCCATGGGCCATGGTCGCCTAGCTGGGTGCGAAACTGGCGTTCTGGCAGAAAGCAAGCAGTTTTTGGCGTCATTTGAGGCCCAAAAACAAAACATTACAACAGTGATCGAGCCATTTCCATCCCCTCTGCCGAGCAGCTGAGTCTCGATGTCCTCGATGGTGCTGCTGCTGGGAAAGGAGCTCATCAGCTTGAGCATGTGGATCCGCTCCTAGTTTCCCCACAAACGTGGCGGTCGTTCGTTCCTCTGGGAAGATTCCTCCAAATCCATGGCTCTTGTTGGTTCCGAAGTCTGGAGGGGGTCGACCTTTCTCCAATGGAAGTGGACGTTTGGCGTCCACTTCCGTTGTTGGAAAGAGGGTCCGCTCCCGGCTCTTTTGGCGAATAACAATTTTCCCAAACGCACAATGCGCACCAACTTCACGACACGCCATGCCACGCAATGTTCAAAAGCAGAAGGCACAACTCTTTCAGCGGGTATGTGAAGGGGATGACTAAACCAGAATGTTGGACTTTTGCAATGTATTCTCACCCAAGTGTACATTCTTCTAATAGGCCCAAAACGAGTGCCCATCTTCCTTTGCCACTCTGCGCGCCGCTCGAGGCGTTCTTGCTCAGCTGCCCAAGACATTTTCTACATGTGAGCTCAATGCTCTCGCACATCAGGCTCCCGCATTTCTAAGAAGATCTAATTTCATTCCATTTGAACATTTTGATGACATTGACTTCTTGAAATGTAAGTCAATCCCGGTTCGCAGAACTCTGTTCGCCTCACTGGCAGCCCACACAAGCATACACAAGCGACGCAGCCGATCAACCGAAACGCCACTTTCGGCAAATGTGCATTGCAAAAGAGATTGCAAACACAAATTGGGTACTCTGCAACATCTACAGCGCCAAGCAAAAGGCTCTTTCAGATGCGTCCCATCTGTGAAATCAAGCCAATCTCCCCAATCAGCTCCCACCAAACCGGCTGACCTCAACCGAGCCGACTGCCCCACCACATCAACCAACCCCACATTCAAAATGATGGTCGCAGAAGTCCCCATCAGAACCCGTATCAAAGGGGTTGTTAAAGGGGTCTACCAAAACCCATGCGAACCAAAAGATCGGCAACATCGACATCTATGTTTCGAACCGTCCCCCTCAGCTTCATCTACCCAAATGTTGATTCCACGGGTCTGCGCTGTTCCCATCCGATTCCCTCGCTCCACTCCCCGGCCGCTCCGCCCGCTTCATGTCCATGAGCTGGTTGAGCCCGCGGCTCACCTCGACATCGCCTCGGGTGGCGGGATCGAGACGAGCCGAGCATTTCACGGGACGTTGCGGCTGATCCTTTGGATACCCGTAACTTACGGTTTACCCCTGGTTTTTACCCCTGGTTTTTTACCCTGTGTTTCTTCTTTTTTAAAGCCTGGTTCTAAACCCTGGTGTTTAACCCTGGTTTCCCCTTGCCGAAGGCTGACCCGCTGCAGATTAGCATCAGGGCCCCTATGTTTGGCCTTATCTCGCCTTAATACGGCTTGTTAACCGGGCTCCCAATATTTCCCCCCACATCACTGCAAGAGCAAACCCAGCTTAAAGCTGGGCCAAAGGTGATGCTTAAACCGGCTTAAACCGGAAATGTAGGGACCCCCGAACATGGTACCCAACAAACCATCATTCTTAGGGGGCACTCCTTTTGGACCCCCCCTTTTTGGGTTCCATGTCAACTTGAAGCGAAGTACCCCCTCCATTGAAGAACTTGAAAGAGAAAAAGGAATCCTGCCATCTAGAAAGGTCATTTTGAGACATTGCTTTGCTGTTGTATCTCTGGGCAAGGAGACACTGTTCGACCCCGTAGATATGGCCGCAGTGGATTTCGGAAGTCCCATCGCTTTGTTCATTTGGTTTTCCTGGAGGTTTCAAGATCTTGCACATGGAAGGCCTTCAGGCATGCCCAAAAACATGTCCCTCAGGACATGTGTGATTTATTTCCTCAAACTGTTTGGTTTACAAAGCAACTAGGATGTTTTTGGCAGTCCAAAGACCTCATAATACCAACTACTCAGGGCATTGCTTGTATATTCACTACCCCGCGTGAAGGCAACCCCATGACCATCCAGAAAAGTTGGAGGTTTCGCCATGGTGGACACTTAGACCCAATTTTGAAACCATGTCTTGGGCAATGTTTTCATTGGGTTTGCGGGCGCAAAGCCCGCAGGTTTGCCAACTGTGCCACTTTCCACCTTGCAAACCCTAAACAAGCACTATTCTCCAGAAGCTGGTTGCACAAAACAAAAACTACAACAAATACCCTCCAGAAGCTGAGGTTGCAACATCCGCCCATTTCGTGGTGGGTGCGGGTTGAGAAGCCTGACACGGGGGCCATCGGGCGCAACGCAAAGCGGCAATCGGGCAGCCGGGCATTTGCTGGGCAAACACAGGTCCGGGCGCTGGGTGAGGCTCTCAAGGCTCAGCTGCCGCAGCTTCACCTGCAACTTGTGACATATTGTTGGGGGAAGCGACGGGAGATGTTCTGGGAACTCATGTTGGGGGTCCCCTAAAATGTACATGTTAGGGAAAGTTTTTTGTGGAAGCCATTGTTTTGTACATTTTAGGGGAAGCTTTGTTTGCGGAAGTCATTCTTGTTGAGGTGGCTCTTGTTTTCTTGGTTCGTTGTTGTGTTTTTGGGGGACCCCTTTTGGTTGGTCCAAAGCACCAACACCTTTCGGGTCCCCAATTTTGATTCGGGTGTCCTGCTTGGGGGAACCCCTTGTTGGCTGGTAGTGGGAAGCCAAAAGGAAGTGAAACATTTTGGGGGGGACTTTCAGACGCCTCCAAATCAACATACAAACAACAACTTGGGACCCCCCAAAAAAGCCACACATATGAGCAAGACAATAATCTCGGGACCCCAAAAAGGCTCTTTTCGAGGCAAGACCCACATGGAAGTCCAGACTCCCATGGAGGCGTCCAACGCTGCTTGGGGTATAATAATTCTGATCTGTCAAAGCAGGAGGAACACAAACATATGAAGCATCCGTCAAACCAACTTCACGTCATAGCCCCCCACATGATCTTTCCTTTGGGCTGTCGCTTCCTGGAAGGCTTTCGAAAGCGCATGGGATCTGAAGCGCCTGCTTCAGCACCAGGTTGAAATCCATGTAAAGCCGGTGGCTGAATCCCACCTTCGGATTGAAGAGCACCTCGGCTGCGGAGATCTGAACTCAACAGAGGTAGCGGCACAAGGGTCGAAGCAAAGGAAGATGCAATCGACTGTTGCCCAGTGCCCGCGGAAGTTGCCCCTGTTGGCTTATCTCTTTTAGTGGAGCGGCGAAGCAAGGGAAAAAGGGCGACGGTAACCATCCAAGCACTGATGCCAGTGATCAATTTGACCCACTGCCCAACGCTCGCCTTCAGCTTGGGCGTCGTCTCCTCCGGCAAGACCTGCTCCGGTGATGAGTCCGACCATACTTGAGTCACAATCAAAACCTGATAGTAGCGTGGTCTACCCAAAACATTTGATGACCTGAATAAGAGCATTGCTCCACTGGAAATTAAGCTTTACAATGGGTGAAGTCGCAAACAACAATCTGTGGTGAAGTCGCAATAGTTGGCCGTGATGAGTGATGAGATTGTCTTTCCCAGTACTTCCAACTATATACCACTGTAGCAGGTAACCCGAGCATCCTAAGCTCTAGGCTTCACATGATGGTTTCTCCTGGTTGCCTCGCACCGGTTTTGAAAACCAGGAATATGCGCTTCCACCAATGACAACACCTGAAACTGAGCCAACCTCAAAAAAGGGGGTGCCCTACTCAGCTCATGTTCCGCGCCTCCAGCAGTTTCGCTTGCGCGGGGCTGTCTCGGAGGCACTCCATCTGCGGACGAACGCTCAGGCACTGTGGTTTTACAAACTCCTGGGCTCTTCAGAATGGAGCGTTGCCCAGTCCAATCCAGAATCCCTATAAGGAGACCACTAAGGGGATCCCGTTGGCAAGGTAAGGATCTTGCAGATTGCCTTGAATAGCCCAGGCAGGGCGCTAAATGGGTCTGGGAATACCAAACAGACTGATTTGGTTTCCTCCAGCTATGTGCTATTTTGAAGCCGGTGAAGCGAGCAGGGAACAAGACAGCCCTTCAGTTCATTGACAAGTCAAATTGCTGGTTTACTTCCAAGATTTAGAGAATCAACAGCCTATCGATGAGCACGACCAGCACGCCATAAAGTGCTCAGCCGAAGCTGTGGGATGCGGAAATATAGGTCTTGAATGAGCAAGGCATCCACACCCTCAGCATCCAGCGTGCAATTATTTGAACACACTATGGTTGATTCTGGTCCACATCTAGTGCTTTCTAAACCCTAAACAGTCTAAACTGTCTTTGCAACATCTCCAAAACTTCGAATAAGGAATCCCAAATACAGGGCCTAGACCATGGCGAGCGCGTTTTTGTACAACCGAACAGGGCTCATGTTTCCTCCTACATCTAACTTGCCCAGTGCCCATGGGAAAAAGGCCACATGTTCAATATTCTGGTCGAGCTGAAGAGGACACCCGGCCAAGGCGAGGAACGCAATGCCAATGGGCAACTCGAATGTATGACAAACTCATCTTACGCACGATCATACAATCTCTTCTGGCGATCAACGCTGTGCATTGCGCGAGGCAGGTCTTTGCAGCGGGTGGAACACAAATATCTGCTCGTTCCTGGTCGGAAACCAACCCCCAAACTTTCCAGGGACAAATAATTGTCCAAGGGCTCTGAACCATCTGCGCACAGAAAGAAAACTTCGTAGAGCCTACCCGAAACCATGAGAAATCCTGCTTGGGAGCGTCACCCTTCACCTAGGAATGCATGGCCCATCTGAGGGTTGTCAATGTCAAACTGGGTCGAAGGAAAGGCAACAGTTTCAAAGGAAGCCAACCTGTCGCCATGTGAGGGTTCCCCTACTTTGAGATACACCTATCACCCATCTGGAGGAAGTTACAGATCCGTACTGGAAGCCGAAGCAACAATCTGGGCGGCCGCGCCACGATGATCCGGCACATGCGGTCCATAACCACAAAGCCTCTCCGCGACTTTCGACTTTCGCTTACGCCCTGTGAAAGGTCCAAAGTCCTGCAGATGTGGCCCAGAAGCAATGAAGAACACAAAAACGCCTCAAGAGCCAGCCTTCGACCAACTCAATTGCGGTCGGACTGCTAACAGGGCAAGCACAAACTTGCACGTTCTCAATGCGAACATATGGGAATAAGATGGAATAAGACCAACTACAGCATTCTCTAGGGTACTTTTATGGTTGGTCACAGGGGCATTCCCATATTCCTCACTCACAGCTGGATGACAGCTCCTTGGTTTGAGGAAGGACTGATTCCAAACACGACAATGGAATCTCTCCGGCCAACAACCGAGGACCGCCTTGGTCCTCTTCTCTCGGTGTTGAAGGTTGTGGTTGACATCTCTACTGGTCAACCAGCCGGTGAACGGCAGACCGGTAGACCTGACAAATTCCGGGTTACCCAGTGACCCCTCCGAGAAAAAGCGAACCCGTTTTAGGAATGACCATGAGTAGTGGGCAACCCACCAAAACAAAAAAGGAACCGGTCCGCTGGACTTCGGCCTGGGCGGCAATCTATAGAAACATGTAGCAAACGTCCGTTGGGCTTTCCGAAAGGTTGTCCACTTTGGGTTCGGTCCTCCAGTGGAGAAGTTAGAACAAGTACCCTTTTTTCGGCAGTCTATTTTAGTAGGGGAAGCCTCCCCCAAAAAAGGGTAAAAGGGCACTACTGGGGGACCTAGTTGGGCTAGTCGGTGAGAGGATGGAGTTTTTGTCCAGGTGAAGTACTGGCTGCAGCTTCGATCGGAACGCCATTGCCGTCTTCCGGTAGATTGGCCTGTCTCAGATTTCAAAGGGCACCAACTCCTGAAGCTATCTCCAGGCAACAAACAAAACACCTATGTACGTTCCCTATTTCTTCAAGCACACCCATTCACCAGTCTAGGCAAGTAAGAATCAACAAAGACTAACCGGCTGGAAACATTCCAAGTATATTGACTAACTTGCCCAGTTGGTTACTCAATCAGCCAACAAGCATCCTCTTGGTTTGTCTTATGCAGCTGCTTGGGATTCACTCCTCTCTCCTACTGAGGCTAAGCCAAAACCGATTGTTCTCCCTCCTAGTCCCCATTCAAACACGAAGGCCGTATCCCCCGCAAAGCCGGTCTCAGGCCGAAACCCGTGATGATGTCCAGGTCAAGACCCTTCCTGGCGATCGATTTCGCCGGATCCCCTGGTGCAGGAAGGACGAGGGCAACTCCATTGGGGGATTGAGGTTGAAAAAGGTTCTGCATTGCAGCCAAACGATCAACCAAAGTACACAAAGGGAATCCGCGATTCTCTGGGTGGAAGATCATCCTTTCTGTGACAAAGGTTCTCCATCCCCATGACCACCTTATCACGTTAATTGCCGGCTCCTGTATGACGGGAATTGGGCCTAAAGCCCAATTTCCCACACCCATGCCTTTTTTGTCGAGGGTACCGTTTGGGGCTGTTTCAAAGGGAAATCAAAGGAAAGTCATCAATTTGAGTGCTCCCACATTTCGAGCCAACTCAACACACCCTGGTGGGTGATCAAATTGGCTGGGTGAGTTGTAGTGAATCCACGCCTCCAGACAATTGGACGCTTGAAAGCAAAGCAAGAGGGGACTTGTAAAACAAAGAATTTAAGGACCCTTTGGTGGATATCATCATTTACGTACAACTCTGTTGGAGGCTATTCCCCTCCTGAAAAACCAACACATTGGCCATGATCAAGAAACACAATGAGCTGCCTCACTAAAAGGCATGACCTGGGGCACTAGTCAGTGATCAGTTAATTGGTCCTCAAAAAGCAGAAGTTCCAATGTCCATGAGGGCCACACAATCGGTAACAAAGTATCAACATAGCTAAACTCAAGTGCCAAGTGCCCAACAGACAAAGCAGAGGCCAGATCTGGTTGTTCATCTTGCTGCATGGAACCACCCACAAACTAGGGATGGCCGACAATAATCAACTGGAAGCCCATGGTTTCACTGTCTGACCCAGCTTGGTGGGGCTGGAACTCATCAACACACTGCATCCCGCTGAACTCGCCAGATCGGCTGTTCTTCATCCAGCTTGATGGTCGCCAAAGCGCGTGCCTGCCTGCATATGTATGTCCCGAATCAGTCACATATGCACACAAATATACACAAATGTAATGATATAGGCATATATTCATGAACAAAGAAAGGACGAAACAAATAATGACAGAAAGAAAGAACAAAAAAAAGAAAGAAAGACACATAGACATAAAGAAAGAAAGGAAGAAAGGAAGAATAAATAAAGAAAGAAACAATATAAATAATAATAATAACAAAAAATCAAGAAATACAGAAATAAAAAATGAATACAGAGAAAGGAAGTAAAGAAATACATAATGAAATAATGAAATAAAGAAAGAAAAAAAGAAAGACAGAAAAAACATAAAAAGAAAGAAATAAAGAAAACAATAAATAAAGACATAAATCAAGAAATACAATAATAAATCAATAAATAAAGAACACATAAATAAATAAACAAGATAAATAAATAAAAAGAACACAAACATCAATCAATAAAAAAACAAGTAAAGAACGAAACAAGAGAAATAACAAAATAAAGAAACAAATAAAGAAAGAAATAAATCATAAAAAAGAAGAAAAACACAATATACAAAAATTAAAGAAAGGTAATAAATAATATATAAATAAATAAATAAAGAAAGAAATAAAGAAATCAAGAAACACTGAAACAAATAATCAAATAACCACATAAAACAAATAATAAGCAACACACTTCACTAAATAAGCAGAACAAACCGATCAAAGTCATGACATAATTTCAGAGATACAAACAAACCAAAAAAGACACACACACACACAAACAAACAAACAAACACACAATCAAACAAACACACAATCAAACAAACAACAAACAAGCACAAACACAAACAAACAAACCAAACAAACCAACCAATTGAAACAAACCAACCAAACAAACAAACACACACACACACCGGTAAGCAACAAGCAAGCAAGCAAGCAAGCAAGCAAGCAAGCAAGCAAGCAAGCAAGCAAGCAAGCAAGCAAGCAAGCAAGCAGGCAGGCAGGCAGGCAAGCAAGCAAGCAAGCAAGCACACAAACATGCAAACAAGCAAACACGCACACAGAAGCAAACACATGACAATGAGTAATAATAATATTTAAAAAAAAACAAAAAAACTACAGTATACCAAAATTTCAAAACATGTACGCACATACATGTGTGGCCACACCAGTTGGATCCGCTTTTGACTACAAAGCGTTGGCCAATCGTAATTTACAATATTTACTGAGAAAGTTGCTGCCAAGCGGACCTTTTCGCAACCCAAGGGTGGATTTCAGAATTGCCCTTCAACAGCCCAAACGATTCAAGGCCATGCGTCAGAAGGGCCCTTGTTGGCTTGCACGCATCCTAACCGTTCTCACGTGTCTGGGCGAACACTTGTTTACCCCAAACCCACAAAAAGGGGTCCAATACACTGAAAGCAACCTTCATGGGCGAGGTCACAACCGCCTTCGAGAGGTTGTCATGGATTACTCAATGTTTGTCCTTGGAACGGCCCAAGAACTTTGCACCCAATTCCGACCTAATCCTCACGGGAACTTCACATTCTGACTTGGCTTGAAGACTTGGTGGCCCCATCGACACTCATGTATGTGTGTGTGTGTGTTGGCTCGAGGGTGTCCTTTTTGAGTTGGTTTCACTGGAAACCAAAGGGAACCCACCCATTTTGCGGGTTCCCTCCTTTGATGCATACCCTCCTAGAGGTGATCTTGCAGCACCAAACCCTTCAGGAGGTTGCAACATTTACTCCAAGCGGCCACCACACCAGGGGCGGTCACAACTTGGCATTTGGGCGTGAAAGTCAACAGGGGGACATCAGAATTCGGTTCGAAATCATGAACCACTTGCAAGGTGGTTCCCTATTCCAATTCATAGCCATGTGCAGGCATATTCACCTGGAACTCCGCCGGGCAAGTCCTCAAACCCACCATAGCCGGGAAAAGTTTCAGCGGGCACGCTCTGTTTTGGTGGTTCCAACGGTTTTTCGGGGCTATAGTTCTTGTGTGCTTCCCAAAAAAAAGGAAAAGCCAAAGACACGCTGCAAAAAACATCAATCGCCACGTCCGCTTCGCCGAAACTCGCTCGACTCGTCACTTGGGCCCAGGCCCAGGGTCCAGTTGCAGGGCCTCCGCGTTGTTCTGCCGCACCTCTCCGAGTTTTCGCCCGAAGCCCGGCCCGGGGGCCGGGGGGGGCGCTGAATGGGTTCCGATCGCCACCAAAGAAGAACCAGGTGTGTGGCATATGAAAGGAACCCATCTGTTAGAACCCATTGGGGGTCACCCAACTACCAACTACTATCCACTTGATCCGCTTCGCAATGCCATGGTTTGTCCATGTTGAGAAGGCAGCCAATCCTTAGGTCAATCATGTTTACCCAACTGTTGGTTGAAACACCATCCTGTTGGTTTCCCTTTCAAGTGCGCCAGGGCTGGCTGCAACCAAAGGCCAGGACCTTCAGGCTGGGTTGTTCAAAAGGGGGGATCCCTTATCCGTAATTCGTAGCGGGAACAGCGCAACAAGAGAAACCACTACCATCTGGAATATAACAAGGTTGTATTTGATCAACTCTGGTTGGAGGATGATTCAGGTGAAAGGCGAGGAACAATGGGGAAGAAACAAGGAACAAATGGATGACGCTTTGGAAACCCGTGCAAGGTTCAGAGGAAATGGTCCTAAAAATATGAAAGCACAACATGCGACAAGAGGAAGGGTGGACGCTTGAGGGGTAGAGTCATTCTAAGCAATCAGAAGGGGAAGCCTCTCAAACAGTTCCAAAGAAAAGAAGAGAAAAAGGGGCGCCTTGTTTTGGGTGTAGATGTCCCACAAAGTTGATGAGCAATTCACGGAGTCATGAGCCTTCATTGTTCTTCCTGTCCTGCGGCAAGCTGATCAAAGTGACCGACGAAGCACTCACGGTCTCCCCATTCCGTTAGGTGCATGCTCACATCTCCATGGCGTCCGGATTGATCCAAAGTTGACAGTATCATCTGGGTCCAACTCTATATTCAGATTGTTCTTCATACTTCGACTCTAAAACAAAACATGATTTTGGAGGAGACCCCAGTGATCTTTCAACAGCTAGGGCCTGAGGAACTTCAGGGCACACCTCCCCTTGATCTACCCCAGCTGGGTCCCTGACAGGGCCGAGCACTTGCAATAGGGCACAATACCACGTTATCCTAAAGTCGACCTTCACAGAATGACTTGCGTGCGGTCATCTATAACCCCAGGTCATTTCACCATGGCACACTTGAGGATGAGATCAACTTCATGGGAGTTGGGTGCCTCTGGGGTAAAATGGGGATCCCGTGACCCCAGTCACGCAGTCAAAAAAAGAAGTTGGACGCGGCTGAGAGAAGGCGGCCATCAATGTTCGTTGATTCATGTTTTACCAGGGAACTGAGTGGACAACAACGTGAACAAACCAACACCACAAAACACATGCACAACATACGCATCCCATATCTCTGCCGCTAGCCAGCTTGAGCAATTCGTGAGTCAGAGATCTTACATCCCGCAAGTAGAACGGCAAAAGCGGAGGTTGCTGCTGATTTGCACCCCTCTGCGTCTCTTTTCTTTGCTCAGGACTGGCAAAAGCCAAGTCTGACTCTGGGGCCCGTGCTGTTTGCAGAATCCTCTTCAGGACTGTGGTCCTGGCACGGGCGTTGATTCTTCAAAGATGTTTTACCAACCAGAACGGCTCACAGATTGAGCCACAGTCGATTACACTTCTGAGTATTACGCTCTGAAAGTCTATGCTCAAGGCTCAAGCTGTTGCGTAGGAAATCGCATTGGACAACAACTTGCAGCTCAGTTTTGCATAGATTTCAACTAGGTCATTTGGTGGAAATCGGAATTCAGTGGTTCAGCCAGCAACGCCATGCAACACCATTGAAGTTGACCATAGTCTCCTTCGACCACTGCCCAGTGAAGAAGGGCTCGGACTGAACAAACAACCCTACAGCCATCAGTCATTGCAAACATGGCAGAAAGGCTTTCGGTAGTCAACGACCACCACCAGCCTGGCAAACCTCATCGTCGGCCGCTTGTTTGGCTACTTTGAAACCGGAGGGGTTCGTGGAAGCATGTGCTTACTCAAAGGATCGAGGCTATGGGCCAAATTTGGCCAATATGGTCAGAGGGTTCGGCCAAATATGGCATTAAACCAAAAGGTCAAAAGGGTAGCTTTGGAGAAGTGCGCGTGAGAGTCATGCGAGGCATGCATGCCCCTTTCCATGCAAAAACCAAGCATGCATGATTCCTCGGTGGTGGAACTAGGAAAACAATTATACGGGCGGTTTTCCAACCAAAAACGCGCTGACATGCAACCAACCATCCGGAGCGGTGCCGTTCAGAGACATATTACATCTATATATTTAAGCATGCAACAGGAACACGATGCACATGAAACTGAGCCTCGCGTCATTCAGGGCCGGTCAGGTGAGCATGACTTGCTGGTCGCCAATGAAGGCTTTCTTTGGCCGCCGGAACAGTCATCCTCGTTTATGTGTTGTGGTTGAGACTGCGGCATGATGCCTCCTCAGCTCTGAAAGAACTGTCCTGACCAGTTTGAGCTGTCGCCCAGTAGGCCTGGTTGCCGTCCTTTACAGAGTCATACATTCACAACGCTCTCTGCGCTGCTTGCAACACAGAATGATGGCCAAAGCGAATGAGGACAAGGAAAATCAAAATCAAGAGGAAACCAGCCACCTGGATTCGTCACTGCTGTCAAACAAAGCAGATACGGTCGGACCACTGTCCCGAATTTCGCAAACCAAGAGCCCCAAAGCCGGCGTGAGGGCATAACTTTATCCCAAGAATACACAACACCCTGAAGACAATTGTGAAGCCACAAAACAACATTGTGTACAGGAATCTCCCTTCAAAACGGACTTCACTCAAAAGGTGTTCCGTTTATTTGCATTGAACCTGAAACAAGGGAGCAGCAGGCAGATGGCAACAGGTCGCCTCAGGAGCGTAGTGGGGTCCGATCTCAGGCCCCAGGCCGCTCATACCGCGGCGCTGGTGGCTCTTCCTGGTGCTCGTGAAGGGTGCTGCTCTCGTGGTGGGGCTGTCAGTTTCTAAAAGTTTTCATAGAAACCGGCTGCAGGAAATTTTACAGGAGATCCTTTCTTTGGCGGGTACCTGGCCAATATCCAGGTCAAACCTAAAGGGATCAAGTTCGACAGCAACAGAAAGGCAGCCACGGCGGCTTCTACTCACACGGCTTCAGCGCTGCAGGCTTGAAGGGGTTCAAATCAGCTGTGACCAGAACCCCCCCACCTGAACCGTTGGTCTTGTCCAAAATCAAATTCCAATTTGAGTGTTGGCTACATATGCAACAGTACCCCAAATGTTTGCCAAGTGAAAACCAAAACAAACAAACACCTGAGGTGGTATAAACGCCTCGTACGCTTTTGATTTTACTTTTTTGGGCCAATCGCAGTTCTCTCGACCTCGAAAATCGCAATCTTTCAGCGCAATTATAGTACTAAGGTCCCTGACACGGAATAAGGCAAAACGAACCTGGGCTTCCTGTAGTAAGGAGTGCAATGCTGCGTCTCCGGCTCGAAGATCGCAAGTTTGCAATACGCGTGTATTGCTTGAAGCGCTTTGTGGCAGCTCTGGCTCGAAAATGCTAACTTTTCAAGCACGTGCAGTTGCAGCTCCTGCCCGAAGCAATCACTCATCTTGTGGATGCACATGTAGCACACAAAGCACACTTTGGCTTCTCCAGCTCAAAACTCGAAAATCGCAACCTCTTCAGTCGCTGCAATCGGACAACGTAAGACGTGCGAAAGGCCATTTCTGTGATAAACGCTGCCGCAGTCTGGCCTTTCTGCCGCCAACAAGATGTGTTATCCAAGCCAACAATGATAGGCATGATGCCGGATTTCCCGCAAACACAACTCCTAAGCACAGCTCCTTTTCATAGAATCTCCATGAGTCTCGGATGAACATCACCATGTATGCTTTCTGTGCATGCGTTCAAGTAATCATCTATTTACATACAGCCACCTTCTCCTTTAGACGCTGTTCGTGGCCTTGGCCTTGGTCTTTTGCAAGGGGCGTTGGCCCCTGATTCAGCGCTGATACAACAACCTGAACCAAACGAGCCAACCAGTTCTTTGACTTAGCAAGGAAACTGTTTGCTGGTTCTCGGGAGTTAGGGAACCAAGACAGGTTTTAGGAATCAAGCTATTGATCTGATACTCAGATGGCTCAGTTCGGGGTCATTCTGACTCATTCCCCCTCAAGCCCCGCTCGAACAGCTCATTTGACTGGTAAAGCCACCGCCATGAAGGTGCCCCGAATTCTACCTCGTCGAGCCTTGGTTCGTCTGTAACTGCAAACAGGTTGCTCCGGCTCCAAAGCCCTCAAGCACATCATGTTATTATACATATATATATATATATGTATGACATACATATTGGAATGTGCCTATGTGATAGATGCTGCACTGCAATACTTACAACCTCTGTGCAGGAAATCCCGTTGAACAACCTCCCAACCCAGCATGAAACTGGAAGCCGGCTGTCACAGTCGCTCCTCCGACTTCGCCTCTGGCGCCTCTGCCTCTGCTGCCGGCTCTTCCGCTTCCACCTGTCAAGGCGGGAACATCTCATCGATGGCCGGGAGAGACCGTTGACCCCGCTGCTAAAAAGGTAAGCCATGCACAAAGCAAGTATTGAGTATCCATGTCTGGAGACGAACGCTTGTTGGTCATCAACAAAGATTTGTGGAGATCCAACAAAAAACAACTATTTGGGTGTCAAGCAAAACTTGCTGCGGAAACGCAAAGGACAACCGAAACCTCAAAGCGTCGTGTTCAATAAACGCGACAAACATACAAACAAAACAAAACAACATGGTTCCAACGTGGCACAACAAAAGGCAACATGGGCAAATCGCACGATGATGAAACCGTGCAAGCAACGGGTGGAAACGCCAATAGGTCTGGCAATGGGTGCTCTCCTTTCGTGTCCCACATCCATTTGTTCACTTTTTGGTGCTCTGGGCCTTACTTTTGCTCGTTTCAGCAGAAAACAATGAAATGAGCGGAAACCTTGATCACATGAGTTGGCCAGCTTTCTCCCGCAAAAATGAGCGGACATCGGCGAGAAATGAGCGGAACTCAGCGGGAGATAAGCGGACATTGGCGGACACACACCAGAACAATATACCAAGTGAGTGTTTTTTTTTTCAATTGAGCGTTTTTGGGTGGTTTGCCGGAACGGAAAAATCTAAAAAACAAGTGAGGGAAGTTCTATATTGGATGCAGATATGGGTGCATCGTTCAAAACAAAGAGCCCGACAATGACTGCACCTTCCCGTTTGATTCCTTGAAAACCAACAGGGAGCTGTTAATTTTGAGAAGCTCCCATGACTAGCTACTCTTCTTTCAAAAATCAGTTTTCCTCCCACAAGAGACAAGCTACATGCCCGCCGTTTTGCAGAGAGGGAAGAATCTGCGAGTCGCTTCACGCGGGCGTTTGAAGAAATGGAAAGCCAATTGACCGCACCCAAGAACCCACGGAGCCCAGCCTTCTCGGCCAGGGGCTCAGCCAGGGTTGCCTTGCGACTCCACGTTTGCTGAATGAAACCAGCCAAAACCACTCAAAACCCTACCAGAGCCTCAGAGACCACCAGAAAGCAACAAAAGACTCAAGAAACACTAGAAACAGTTGGACAACTGGGAATTCCCAAATGTCACTAGCTTTGTATAGCAGTTTGTTCAAATGACCCATGGCTGTTGTCAAACTGGGATGGCCATGATCCCTGCAAAGATATCCCAGTAGTCGGGGCAAAGCAGCGGTGCTTCGTGTTTGTCCTATTTGTTCGAAAGACCCGCCTCAAAGCAAAGAACAACGAGAGTACAAGGGCACCACTGGAGGTCTGAACAAAACATATATGCATCTAACATGTTTGCCATTACTGGTATAGTTGTGTCTCAAAGTAGAGACCCGCGACATCTTGATGGTGGCCAAAATATCAGAGTTTCAACATAACTCGTCGGCAAATTTGACTCTGCTAGAAGACGGGGCGCCCTTTTCGAGGTTAGCTATGTTTGGGGGGGGGGGGGGCGTGAACCCACCGCAGAAAGGGAAGACAGTTGGGATTTCGATAGCACTATGGTGCGGAGATTGATCAAACGTGTCAGGATGGGCACTACTTCCAAAGGGTAAGCCGGGTGAGCTACATGGTGCCAACTAATCCAGCCCCGAGATGGCCAACGTGTAGATCAGAATCCTGCAGTCTTAGTAGGTTTCTGAAACAAGCACAAGGCATGGTTCGTTCGTCACTTCAACCATGTTTCTACTTTCAACCGATCCTCAAAAAGGATGAAATCATGGCCATTGGTCAGTGGCAGTGTATGATCTTGCAACCATTCAAAGGAGTCAGGACCCAAGCTCTGAAAGGAAAGACGGGACCCAACACCAAAGGGGTTGCAAGGGCAGGCGTGGGCAGCCCTCAAATCGACGAAATCCACTTCAAAGGTTCAGCTGCTTTTCACCCAGACCTTTCCACTGGAATGTCTGGCATCAAAGGCCTTGAACACATGAGGGTTCAGGTGGCACTTCGCACCAACCACTCACAGCCCAGAGAATTTGTCCTTCGGTTCATACAGGGTCTAGTTCCTGGGGTTCAAACTTGCATCTTGCCCCCTGTGTCTCCCTGCTTTCACACAGGCCTGGGTTCCTGTCACAGAGTCTGGGCGGAGGCCCGCTCTCTTTTGGCAAGCGGCAACCCCCCTTGGACAGTCCTAGGACCGGGCTGCAAGTATAGCACACGATTGTAGAAAACTTGTAGGCATTTCTTAGCCAAGTGCTGGATATTCTGACGCGTGGCCAATCCACCCCCAGAAAAGGTTCTCAGACCCTTCTAAGGGTTGGTAGTTCTCAGAAGGGGAATCTGTCCCCTTGAAATCATCACCGCCAAACAAAAAACTCATTTTTGTTGGCCCGAAAGGCGATTTCTTCTAGGATTTCTTCCACCACCTTTTGGCCAACACTTGGTTTTGTTTCCTCAGCCACAGGGAAAACACGGGCACCCCCGCTCTCGTTGCTTTCGTTGGGTCTCCGCACGCTCAGCCGCACCCAGGTGCCATCCAGGTACCGTGGCCTCGGATCGAGCTTTTCAACCCAGTGAAGCGAAAAGGGACGAGGTAGGGGGACGGGGTACCAAAGCGAAACTAAGCAGCTGGGGTTCCAGGGGGTCCATTTACTGGGAGAACCCAAGAGTTGGATAAACTGAACAAAAAGGAACCGTTGCCATGTGTAGGGTCCAGTTCTCATCTTAGGAAGCTTCTAGGATGCTTGCTTTTGGGGCAGGAGGGGGAAACCAATCGCTAGCAAATAGTGTTGGTCATTTGAGGGGGAAGGTCGCCAAAAGAAGGGAAGAAAGGACCGAGGGCCAAAGAAGAAGTCTGACTGATTATTGGCTCCTTCGCAGTAGGCAGGGAGAAGAACTTCGACGATCCAAGGAAGGTGTCCCTCACTTCCTGAGTGGGTCGGCCAAAACAAGTACAAACTTGTTGGTTGGATCCTTCGGTGCACACCACTGGGCAAAATTGGTTTTGGCAAAGGGACCATGGCCCTCGAACTGTACAAAAGCAGCAATTCTATTTGCGAGTGTCTTTTTGCTTTCTTTTTGTCGTTTAACTCCAGGAACTCAAGAAAACACAGGGAACCAAAGGCTCCAGCTTGGCGCCGGACATGGCCTGGAACTCGGCCTTCTCCACCGATGCCAGCAGCCTGCGATTCCGCGGCATGTCAGACTTGAGGGTGCCCGTGTCAGGTGGGTTTAAAGGGAAACCAAAAGAAAGGTCCCCGTTTTGGCACATGCTTCCCCTCAAATCTCGTGGCGGAGATTAGGAGTGCTTTGAGAGTACCCTTCCAGGTGGGATTCAATAGATAAGCGGGCCCTAGGTTTGAAGCCTCACCACATCACCTGAAAACTCACTGCCCCAAGAACCTAGAAGAAAACATACGTAACGCTTGGACCCACGACACAAACCTGTTGCTGAAAAGCAACAAATCCAAAGGTCAAACGAACTTGCTGAGCAAAGCCACTTCCAACGTGGAACCTTACGATACTGGTCCGAACCATAATTATCTCAACAAGAAGGTCGAACCACAACTAGCTCTTCAAAGCAACTCGGTCCATATGGCCCCGGGTCAAAATCCCGTACCCCCAGTGAACATCCCAATCATTACTAATTACTAGAACAGGTTCTCAAATGGGTGGTGCACCTACCCCAAAATGGGATTCTATCGGTTTCGACCCACAGCCATATGTGGCTGTGGCTCAAATAAATGTACCAACATGGCACCTTGGCAAATGGAACCAAAGACTAAAGCCGCGTAACCCTAGCTCTTGAATTTTGAGCCACGCCCATGTATAAAACCTGCAGATCTGCGGATAGCTCGGGAGTGCCCAGCGCTCCGGGCGCCCGGCTGCCGCGCTTCCGGGCCCTGCAGCAGCTGAGCCACCTGAAAATCGCACAGCGGTTTCAGGGGGGGACCCAAGAGCCCACCAATTCTAAGGGTTTCTTAACACGTTGGCCCTTTTTTGGTATTCAAAGGGAAACCAAGAGGACACCAAGAGGAAACCTAGATTCCCCATTTCCAAACATCCTTCTTTTCAAAAACCGGATCCGTTTCCCTGGGTTTCCGGAGGTTTTCTAGAAAGAAAGATCCCTGGAAAGAATGGGGAAGGTAGCACTAGAACCATTTGAGAAACTCCCCAGAGCTGGGTTCCAAATGAAAGTGTCTCCGAAAGGCGCCACATAAAACCTGAAAAATGCAGCGATTATTAATACTTCATGTGGGGCATCCCGATTTTCCTACTTCAAAGCCCGTGGAAAACCACGAGCAAAACAGGCTTGCTCTAAAGACCTGATCGGCGCAAGGGCAAATGTTTTTGCCCCTAGAGGTGAACAAAAGGAAGCGTTCTACTGAGCTTCTTCTGGGGTTCAATCAGCTTTTTGGAATGGCTTGAGGCAGCCCTGCAAAAGAAGTGGTCCTGTACAAGAGACCATAGGGGAACCGCCCAAAAAGAGCTTTGGGTCAAATGATGATCCTCTCTTGAATAAAACAACAACATTGCTTTAAATTTGCCCTTTACGGATAGTCAGTGTCGTTCTCTGCAAAAACCACTGTGGCTCCTGGAAACATTATTTGAACATTCCCCCGAAAGAGCAACGCTAAACTTGGCTTGAGAAATAGTGCTTCAACGGCGACCCACACTTTCAAGGTGGGATGAAAATCCCAACTTACCATTTGGACTGGAACAATTCTTTGACGGACACTCAGGTCGGATCCAAGTCCAGTTTACCCGCTGGACGGAAATGCTTGTTTGGAAAACCAACAGGTTTTGTGTGGCAAATATCGCGTTGGTAGACAGGAGGAGTTGACATCATACTTGAAACAATTAGGGTCTTTGGAGCAAAGAGTGTACTCTTGGTACCTTTGGCCTCTCATGAAACAATATATTGAAATCTGCCCTTCAAAGTGGCGCTGTCCATTTGATGTTTCGTTTGCTTAACAAACCAAACGGGGCCACTGCACTTTTGACACAGCCCCATACACTGCAACAAGCTTGGCTCCGTCAGAAGAAAAGCAGTGCAGTTGGTCTCCTATACGGGCAAGACTCCACAGCCAAAACTTTGTCAGTGCAGACTGGGGACCCCTCACTGAGTTGCCATTCCAGTTGGACTCGAAACCAAATGGCAAGTACCAGGAGTCGGCCGATGGGAAATTGCACAGCTGGCTCCCAGCAAAATATGCCAACAAAACGCTATCACCATACCCCTGGGTAATTCGTGGTGGGGAGGATCCTCCGTGCCATACCGCTTAGAGTGCTGTAGTATGTATTGAATGTTCGCAGTTTGTAAATATTTGTGCAAATGTCTTGTGGGCTGGTTTCAAAATGCAACCCACAAACCTGCAAACTCCCACCTTCAGATTTCGGCTGCCTCCTTGGCTGCGCTTGCCTAAGCGGATGGCAACGACGTTCTGAAGGCAACATTGGAAAATTGGAACCTAGTTTCCTTGGGAACCAGACTTGAGATCGCCAAACTAGCGGTTCCCAAAAGCAACAAATGCGTGGCAACAGCAGCGCCAAATCTAAGAGCCCAGGCGTCCTGGCGCGGTACACTACAATGTATTTGCTCCTTTCCTTGAGCCTCACCAATCAATCCAACCAAACCCAGCTGCGAAACTCTTGCCGTGTGTCACACAAGTTGATTTGCAGTACGCACACACACAGTCTCCAAAGAGTAGCTTGTTTTCACAAAGACGCCTGCCCTTCGGAACAAAAAACAAAACACGTTGGTGGACAAGGGTCGATTTATTGATTGACCATAGTACTCCACATACAAGCATGCCAGAGCAACAAAGCGCGGAAATGCCTGGCACAATGCAACACCAAATGAACATAATAATCATCATACCCGTAGTTCTTTACCTGACTTTGTCCTCCGCTTTGCCGCCCCAACCCAAACATGATTCATTCTGTTCCATATTTAGTGAAGCTGAAGAAGTATCATCATTTCAACAGAGATCCCAATATGTAAGTTCAAACCCCTCATATATGAGCCATTGTCAAAATTGCCTGTGTCCTTCATGGGAAACGTGGGGTTTGTCTCCCTGCTTTTAGTGTTTTTATTTGTATTTTATTTATTTTTTGGGGGGAGGGGGGATTCTACGAGGGCGCCTCGCTTGGCTTGAGGCCCCAGCTCTTGGGCTCTACATCAGCCCGCATGTGCAGCGGATGGTTCAGCCTGCGGCAAGCACGCAGCAAGGTCTGAGCTTTGGTTGGTGATAGTGATGGTACAAATGGCCCGAAACCACTGCGAATTCATACACATGCATAATTATACATATACAATAATGTACACACACACACACTGCATGTCAAACATATGAATGTGTATGCATTCATATAAAGTATGTGTAACGTGTATAATATATATATATATATACATAGCATATCCTATTGTGCAAATATATATTGAGTAGGCCAAAGGGCGGCGCCCTCCAAGCACGGCCATGCAATGCGCCTTGGGTTCAGCAGGTCTGTGAGGCAAAATGTGGCCAGGCCATACCACATCCTTGGACAGCGAGGGTCTGAACGCCCCTCCCATTCAGCAACAACTACCAGTCATATTGTCAGTTGTTGATTTTGCTGGAAGCTCACAGTGTGAAAGCTGCTTAATTCCCCTTTCTGGGCTCCATACTACCTTGCTGGCCAAGATGGAAGCTCCCCCCTTGTGAAGATGAACCAGCTTAATTCAATTTGGGCACCCGGTTTCTATGCATGAGCAGGGGAAAATGATCCCGGGTCACGTAGCAAGCAGTCCCCGTCAAGTCTGATCCTTTCGATGGCGCTGAGTAGCTCCTGCACTGGTCGAACATCCAAAGGTTCCCAACCTGGCGAGCGGAGCCCGTCCCGTTGCTTCCAGCCCGAGACTGTTTGCAACCTGCAGAAAGAAGCAAAGGGCCTGAAAAGGGCAAGTGCTCAATGAGTTGAGCCGCAAGCCCCTTATTGTAATGCCAGCATAGGCAACAAGGGAACCAACATTGGCAAAGAAGGGGCAAGAACTTCGGACAATCTACTACCGCTAAACCGGGATCTTCTGACAGGGATCTACTAAGGATGTTAATGTCAGTCAAAGGAGGACCGAAAATGGCAACCACAATTTCCTTTGGGTTGGTGATGTTGAAAGATCTTAAAGTTCCAAAGAACACACAGAGGACATGTAAGAGATCCCGAGGACCAAGAGGCGATAACGTTCAGATGGGGACACCTGCAACAATCGATAATTGGGGCTATATAATTTGCGTGGAGAAATCTCGTCCTGCTCATCCGACGGTTGCTCAATATGGGCTCACTGAGCCACATATCCGGCACAGATGGATTTCACCGCCAGTGACCGAAACACGGGCGACCAAAGAACCGGCCATGACCGCGTGCTTCCAGCACACTTGAGAGCTACAATGGCAGTCTGGCAAATTGATGTCCGGCTTGCGTCGATGCAATTAAACAACAAGGCAAATCGGTTTATGATGAGCTAGATGGGTGCCATCAATGTATAAATCAGACAATCAGGTATACGGTATATATCAACTGAGGCTCCGGTCGATTTTGGCACCCAAGACTCCCCACTGTGAGCCGCAGAACCCGACGCCCGGCCTGGCGGCAGCACCGGCTTTGACGGCGTCTCCGCCGTGCCGGGAGCGGACTGGGCACGGCGCAAGGTCTTTGGAGACTGAAAGTGAGGCCAAAAACTGCTGCATCCCCCCTGCCGTAGTGCAAGGGACGTAGGGGGGGGGGGGGGGGAATTTTATTTTTCAATCGACGTAGGGGGGGGGGCATTTTATTTTTTCAAGGCCCTGTGACCTGCAACGCAGACAATCGAGTCACCCGGCAGACAGCCTCCTTCGCCGGGCGTTTTGACCCGGCACGCTCAATTGCGGGACCGGACGTGCCGCAACCGTGACCCGGCGTGCCGGGTCCTTCGCTGGACCTTGTCACCCAGCACACACAACTGCGCGAACCCGGCGCGCCGGCTACGCCGGGGCTTGTGAAATGGCGTGCTGGGCCTTGTGAACCGGCGCGCCGGGCCCTACGCCGGGCCTTGTGAATTGGCGCGCTGGGCCTTGTGAACCGGCGCGCCGGGCCTTGTGAACCGGCGCGCCAGGCCCTACGCCGGGCCTTGTGAAATGGCGCGCTGGGCCTTGTGAACCGGCGCGCCGTGACCCGGCAAGCTCTCAGATGCGTGGCGCTTGAACATCCCACCCAGCAGCGTTCACAGCAAGGTTTCAGGCGCGGCTGACACACACTAAATCAGCACGCTGGCTCCGGCCAGTTTTTGACGTTCTTTGAAGCGATGCAAAAACAGGGGGAACAATTGCGGAAGCGCTGCGTCCGACCCCCGTTTCAGCCAAGTGACCTGAAGCCTGCTTTTTCACCCGCCAAGAGCAGGTTCCAGGACACATGCAAAAACCCAAGGTAGACGAAGCACTGAGCTGACTGAGATGTGGCCCACACGCCTGCGGCGCATCTCTCTTTCATAGGATCTCCGGCAGCAGCTTGTTGAGAGCTCAGTAAGGCCTCATGTCTCAAGTAGTTTGGATTGCTTTCTGCGAATTGGTAAGCAAGGCGGAGGGCCAGCTCCTTGCCCTCTGTGTGCTCCCACCTTTTTCTCACCAATTCTTTTTTCTTACCCAATCATCTCCTTCTCTTTTTATTCTTTGCTCTTCTGCCACGCTAAGAAAGAATGCAAACCAGATGCGTCATGATGCGCAGAGCTGCAACTTGCCAAAAAAGGCAGTTTCGCAGATTCGCGAAACTGCTTCTTTTCATTTAGTCTGCTTACCGACGATGGCGGTAAGCAAGCTAAACCATCCGAGGGCTGGATATTGGCTGAAATCCTTTAGTCCGAGCGTTTAGTCTGCTTACCGCCGGTGGCGGTAAGCAGACTAAATGAAAATATGCAGTTTCGGGGAAGCGCGCCTTTCTGAAAGTTGCAGTTCCGCAATTGGATGAAAAGGCAAATTCGGGAATCTGCCTTTAAGGCCCCAGGCCGCTTGATTACACAGTTGCGACCCTGCAGCTGCTCCACTGCGCGCTGTGCCAAGATGGGGATTCACGGAGGGCAAGGGGCTGGCCCGCCTCCCTGTTTACAAATTCCTTCAAAGCAAGCCAAACTACTTGCGACATGAGGCCTTACTGAGCTCTCAACAAGCTGCTGCCGGAGATCCTATGAAAGAGAGATGCGCCGCAGGCGCGTGGGCCACATCTCAGTTTGCAAGTGTCCTGGAACCTGCTCTTCGCGAGTGAAAAAGAAGGCTTCAGGTCACTTGGCTGAAACGGGGAAGGACGCAGCGCTTCCACAATTGTTCTCCCCATTTTTGCATCGGTTGAAAGAACGCCATCAACTTGATTGAGTGTGTAGTGTATCAGCCGCGCCCGAAACCTTGCTGAACGCTGCTGGGCGGGATGTTCAAGTTGGGCTCACGCAGCGGACGGCCCGGGGCGCCGTGCCACGCATCTGAGAGCTTGCCGGGTCACGAGGGCCCGGCGCGCCGGGTCCCGCGGTTGAGCGTGCAGGTCCGCAAGCCCGACCCTACGCGCCGGGTTATGCAGAAATCTGGCAGATTGCAGTTGCGTGGCAGATTTCTGGTGGTTTCATTGCTTTCGAGACACTCCTTCTAATTGCGATTTTACGCGATACTGCGCGCTGATGCGCGCTGCTATGCGAAACCACACATCTCGCGATCTACTTGGCGATGCCCTTGCACTTTGGGGGCCGAACTGTTGGCGTTACAACCAACGCCCGAGCCCAGCGAGCGGGAGAAGCATGCAGGGCGGTGTGTTTGGGGCGGCTGGGGTAGGGCTCGGGTGGCTTTTAAGCCCAAAAACATTTTATTTTATTGACGTAACCCCCCCCCCCCCCCTCAATTTTATTTTTAAGGTAGGGGGATGACTGCTGCGTTCCATGGCGCCAGCGTTTAGATGTGGGCTAAAGGGCTTCTGTGGGGCCATCTTCGTGCATTGAAACTGGGAAAAGCCCTTCCTCAGCTGGTTCGAAGTCATTCCGTTGAAAAAGGAGAAGGACAGAAAGGTTGTAGGAACTTAACTAGGGAAACAAACAAAACCTGGGAATCAATCCCTTGGGTTGGTTCGTTGTTTTGGGAATTTCGAAGATCTCAGGCACCTCTCTCTAAAGAGAAGGGAGAAGACACGACTGGCCAAAAGGGGTCCATGGTCACAATTGTTAACCCTGCCTGCGGCTTCTTCTTGGCGTCTTTCTCGCTCGTGGGGGCGGATGGCGGCGGCTCCTACCGCTGCGACCCGAGGTCCAATCACATGCCCTGGCTCCAAATTCGGAAAACGCTGCTCTACAAAGTGTTATGTAGATAAAAACAGTGAACAAAACTATTTTGTCTCCACTACTGTCTGACATATGTCAGTTTAAACTCTTAGGAATCCGAAAAGTTCAAGGAATCCTCACGGCTCCCCGACAAGCTCAATGTCAATCCATGGCATGAACAAACACCCCCTGAGCATGCACTTTTACATTCAAGCACCCTAGCTTGCTGGTCGAGTAAACTCCTTAAATGGTATAGCCGTTGGTTGCCCTTGCCAAACGTTGAACTGCCGCTGCTTTTCTCTGTTCTTAACCTCCGTCCACGCAACTGGCAATGCATCATGGCTCGACTTACCCGGCGCAAAGGTGGCTTTCATGATCCAAAGTTTGCCAAAAGCAAATATCATTTGGACCCTCAAGAAGCGGACACAGCAACAACTTGTCCAACAAGGGCCATGATTCGGGCATTATGTTTGCAGCTGGCCGGTGTAAAGCCAACATTGCCAACCGTTGATCAGAAGCAACACATGTTCACCAACCAAACAAGCATATGATCCCCCCTCCCCCCACAAAAAAAACCAGCAAACATGGCTGGGGGCAAGCTAGCACGGAATCCTCTGCCGGCGGCAGAAGTATGGCCTGTGTCAAACGGCCGAGGCAGAATGGATGCGGCCCATTTGGTTGAACAGGCTGAAAATGGCTGCTGTCCAAGAGAATGCAGCGCAATGAGATATGCTCAACAAATAAACAAACAAACAAACAAACAAACAATCAAACAACAAAAACAAAAAAACAAACAAACAAACAAACAAAAACAAACAAACAGGTAACTCCAAATGACAAACAGCGGGCCCTTAGCTAATAAGTTTGCTTGGCTCAATGTGCTCCTGTTTATTAGTGTTGTTCTGGGAGACGTCAATCCCGAACAGAAATTCAGGGGGCAGCGGCTTGGCACGCTGCTTGATGAATCACCCGATCAGCGCATGAGTCGGAAAAGGGCATGCCCTGTGTGTGTGTGTGTGTGTGTGTGTGTGTGTGTGTGTGTGTGTGTGTGTGTGTGTGTGTGTGTGTGTGCGTGTCCGCTAAAGCCACATGTTGCAGGCTGTGATTGCCCCTTTATGTGAGAGAAGCATGGAAAGAAATCTGGGGCAAACAGCTTTTGGAGTAGAACAAGCCAGGCGGTTGACGTGAGCAACGCACAATCTTGCTAGTTGATTTGGAAAGTTGGCCAGCCTTTGTGTGCAACATAGCAGCAATTGCATATTCAACAATATTGTTGTGCCTCGTAATGTCACTACAATCATGACACAACCCAAAGAAGCTTGTGTTAACTAACAAGTGCCGCTGTTGAAGGGCCCAGGGGAAACCTATTGACTCCGTGCCCATTGTCTTTTATTTTTAATGAACCCTGAAAGACGGGTCCGCCGTTCCAGGAGATACCTACACGCGGACTCCTAGTTGTAAGTCAGCGCTTTGCCCATCCGGTGAACATGGGCCACAGGCTTATCAGAGTTGACAAGTCCAGCTTTTCAAAGGATGTCTCTGGTGCCTAGCATCCCCTAGCACCCCAAACATTGAATCTACATGGCATCTCCAAATATCACAAAAAGCAACGTCAGGTGTAAAGATCTAGCTTCATGCTAGAAGAAGCAAGTTTCCGACGGTGTGACCCTCTTGCCCTGAGATTATGCTTCTCTATCAGACACTCTTCGACACAATGGAGTCTTGGGCCCTCGTCAGCCGTCCAGCGGTCTTTTGCCATCCCCAAACCGAACGTCCCCCATCCAAAGCGACGAGAGCCACGGCGGAGCCTTCTGCAGAATGACATACGACAAGAGGGCCATGGCTTTCCCATAAAGCCCTTGAGATCATTTAAGATTCCATGACATCCCATCAATCCCTTGAATCCCTTGAGCACACTTTGAGACCTTCCGATGACATCCTGGCGTCTGCATTCCGGTACCGTCGCCTTGTCTCGGTCGTGCACCTGGCCACGGTCAAAGCACCCCATTCTTTATCCATCGAAAAAAACAACATGTGGCTCACATCTTTCTTGCTGACTTGATGGCATTGTAGCCCTCAGCTCCCCAAAGAGGGATAGAGTGGGGACCATACCTGGCGCATTTGCAGCAAGGGTAATGGGTCGAAGCGTCCAAGTGCTAGCGCCCTCAGCGCAAACGCAACCTGGTCAGTTTTGAGGACAGCTACACATCAGCTACACAATTTGGAGTGTAAGCTTTTGGTAAAAGGAGCAGCATGGGTTGCCCTTGTACATAGACGTATCAACCATTTTACCGCCATCCGGATCAGGTGCTTTGGTCAAGGGGCCCCCAGAAGGAGCCCATCAAGCCCAACAGCACACTGAAAGGTCCTAGGCCCAAATAGGATCTAAGGGAAGAGGGTCAACTATGACACCCTGCAGGGAAGAGCGATGACATCTTCGACTTTCAATCCAGTTTTGACTAAATTCCCGCCCCCCCCCAGTCCACTGGGTCCTGGATTCCCCACACAGGGAACTCGGACCTTTTCTGAGAAGGGGGGGTCAGTCCACTCGCGTCCCTGGCCTCCACCTGGAGCCTCGCCAGCTGCAAGTACTCTCGGGTTTGGTGCTGCGGCCAGGTGCCCAGGAAGTACACCAGATGCGCCTCACGGAAACCGTACTGACGATGCGACGTCCGAGCGATGCGGAAAATCACAGGGGGTGCATCGATTGTAAAGACATTTCCGTTGTGGGGGGGGTGGTTGTAGGGGAGTACACCTTCATATCAAAGTGGATTGCCTTCCCCGGATTGTCTTCAAGTCACAGACATAGGTTCTAAACTGTAGGTTTTCCACAACCATGCGGACGTCCGCCAGCGCCAAGGCCGCGCGGCTTCGTGCTGTGACCCCATGCAGTTCAGAGCTTGCCGAATATCAAACCTGACCGTGGGACGGAAACCCAGCACTTGAAAGTTGTCCTTCATGGCTGCTATGGCTAATCAGGGAAAACCCAACAAAGTGCATTGGTTTTGGGCTCCGAATTTCACCCCACAACCCCAAGCTCGAGGCCGGATCGAATTCGGTCCTGGCAGGGTACATCGCCTTTGGCACCGATGGCAAGCGGCGCCGTTCGCCGGCCTGCGGTTTCAAGTGTTGCCTTCAACCGTCAGGGGTCTAAGATACTTTCTACTCATTGGGATACACAACCACAAACAAAGCCACACACAATAAGGGGTGTACAGGTATACCACGTTTTGGCCATGGGGGCAGTGGTTTGGGGAAATGGACACCATCTTAGATTTGTGCAAGCGGTCCGTTTAGTTGATGCAAAAGCGGCTTCAAATGCCCAAGGCTGCAAAAGGAAGGACCCAAGCTAAGATGTTTTCGGATTGCCAAGGCAAACAACAGAAAACCACTGACAAAGGAGCATGGTCTTTTGGGTGATCCTATCTATGGAAGGGAAGGGCCCAAACAAGATCCAGCCTTGCTGCTAAAGGCATAAACAACGCAAAACGGGTCCTTCTCAAGACGGAATGCAAAAGAAGACTGTGTTTGCTTTTGGATTCCCGCTGAATCCTGTCCAGTAGGAGTCCCCAAGTTAGTTGACACCCCAAATCCGCGTCCCGGTGCAAGAGGCAGCTTTGCAGTTCCGGGACAACCTCCAGTACGTGGTTTGCCTCTGCTGGCTCCCACAAACCTGGACAACTCTAAACCTTGAAAACAAACAATGAACAAAAACGCATGCAGTGAGCTTCCGGTTGCCTTTAAGCAAATTTTAAGCGCTTACGCTCGTTCAAACGAAAAGCAACCAACAAATCCCGATGTTGCAAGCGCCTATGAGCTGTGTGTATGTAGCTGTGTATGGTAGCCAACATTCCATCCAAGCGCATCCCTTCATTCATAACCACAGACAGAGCGGGGGCCCTTCGCAACATCCAAATGATGGGTACTTCGTTGCTTCAGTCAATAACAACATGTAGGATATATCACTAAACCTTTGACAACAGTGATACATTGGCTCATAAACACGAAAGTCTGTGAACGCCGACATGGTGTCAAAAGGCCGCCTTGCAATTGTGCCAACCGAAGCGCACAAGTGACTCGCGGTTGACTCATGCAGTCCCTCGCGTTCACCATGAAGAAGCAAAGCACTTGCTTGAGCGGACACAAATTATTGCCGACAGCTAGTGGGTGCAACATGTAGAAGCGACAGCCAGACGGCTGAAACCCCCTTAGCCGCGCATAGATGAACATGTATTGTGGGCTGTGGGGAAACCATGCCAGCTTGGGAAGCCCCTCCGCATGACGCCGCATGAGGTCCAGCTTGCAATGCGCAATGTAGCCTTCTGCTACCTCTTCGGAGGGTGGCATCTCCAAGGGTCAACTCGCATTTCCCCATGCGACTGGGCTCCCCGGGCGCTCTCCAAAGGCTTCTAAAACCTGCGTGTGAGAACTGCGTGGCTCAGCTGATCGGTTTCAGCGCAAGCGGAAAAAATGGGCTGAGCCAAGCACCGTGTAGGCGAGTGGCTGCTGGAGGTCACGCTCCTTGTGCGGCCAAAGGGCTGAATTCTTTCCGTGTGGTACCCCCCAATTAAAAGACCGGTTGACCCAATTTGGAGGATGAAATCTTTGGGTAATTACTGGTGGTTGTATTAACCCTCGTTGTTTCAATTGTGGTTTGACCCCCAGGGGTTGGCTGCTCGGTGTTTCTCATGAAACAAATCTGGAGACCGAGTGGACAAATTAGCAGTACAAAGAATACCCTCATTGCATCTTCCTCTCAGGGAAACAGAGACTAACCAGTCCCTCAGCAGGACATATTCCTTTCTCAGTGTCTGCCAACCTCGGAACAGAAAACCAGCTGCTAAACAACCCATGGTACAATGTTCATCGATCAACCTGTCTTCAAAAGTGAACAAACACCTTATTGCTCTTGCAACTTGGACAAATTGGACTCGTTCGAAAGAACTCTGGTAGATCAGTACATCACAGTACTCACCATCCTGTGGCCGGCCACCCTAAAGATCATGTCCCTTGATTAGTGTTTCCAGGCAAAGTGCAGCGCAGGCTACACCAATCAAGCAAAACTGAGTAAACAACAGGAGAGGAAGGATAAAACAACCTGCAGCACAGGTCACACCAATCAAGCTGAAGGAAGAACAGGGGAGGAAGGATAAGGCACCATCTCTCATGGTTCATCACATGTTTCAACTTATTTGCACGGATCATGCCAAACCCCGGCCTCCGGAAGCTGGTGCGCACCACCCACGGTGATCAACAATGGATTCAGGTGCCTGGGCTGCATGAACAAATGCAAGAACAAAGCCTATACTCAAAGTGCTGAGAGAAAACCAAGTGGGACTTCAAGCGAAAAATATATATATATATATATATAAAAACAAAAATATGAGTGCACATCTGTTCGCTTATTTCCTCTTTCATGCTGCAATGCATGTCTGCCGCACACACACACACACAAACGGACACTTATGCATCTTGCTTTCTTGCAGGATCCCACAAGTTTAACTTGCCCAAAGGTCTGGGCTCTGGACGAGGAATTGGTTCTGCCAACAAAGTCAGCAAGTTTTCTCCAGCAGCACAACGCCTCCTGAAAAACACAGAAAAGCTCAGACAGCAACTTAAACATCCTCCCGGCGCCGAAACCGTCCCACTAAAAAAAACAACTGCAAGAAGCAGGACCGCCCTGACCTGCCACTTGGTGACTAAGGAAAAGAAACGAGGCCAGGTTTGGGAGATGTTCCTGGAAAGTCACGGCAGCCCTCCTGTCTAAGCATTCCAAACTCTGTCAGTCCGGGCCGCACCACGCTCTGAGCAAAGGCAACCCCATGAGTGACAAGTTGCAAGGTTGGCCTACAGAGGGCTATGAGCTTTAATGGAGAACAATCCAAATTGTGGTAGGCACCAATCCCCACCACCGAATTATCATGTCCACCATTGAGGGTTCCCAATTCAAGTTGTTGTCCAAATTGGAAGAGTGATTCTGTTTTGGACAATGCGATGTTGTTTGCTTTGTCTGGACCACTCCAAAGCGAGAGCCGCGCACGCAATGCACACAGTCCTGGAGCCTGATAGCGAGTATTGCAACATAAGTTGTCTAGCGAACTTTGAGTAAGCACGCCGGCAATACGTTTCCGCTAGTTATTATACAAGCCATTGAGCCCACCAAACCAAGATGTCACTAAGCACGTTCGAGGTGAAAGGGAAACGGGTTCAGCTCACTGTTTGTTTGAGAACCCAACAGTGCAAAGAAGACTATGTGTCAAAGCAGAGTTTTGCCACCCAACGGCTTCCCTTGAAACCGACCAACAAAAACTCACACAAAACAGCCGCACAAACAAGGTCAGACTTCCACCAGCCCGTTATGACACGTCTCCTTGCGCTTAGCGGCTTCCGGATCTCCGGGGACAGCAGTGGGCCTCGGGGAGGACCGGGGACCAGAGTCTTCTGGGAGGTTGGGGTCTTGTCTCTGCGTATGCCCCTTGTGGTGCTGTGTTTGTTGAATGTGTTATGTGTATTATTCTTGAGTTTGCATGCTTCTTCTTTGTTGCCAGGGAAAAGCTAAATGAAGATGCAGGGTAAACCATAACTCATCGACCCAACATGTGGCTGCCTGATTAAAAACTCACACACACACATAATGGGGGGGGTCGTAACCCCCTTCGCAAGGTTTCTATAAATTGGCCATTGTGTTTCTTTAAGCCAGCGCGTTCCTCGTCATCTCGTCAGCTGCAATATGACCAGTTGCAGCAATTAATTTACTTCGGCCGGCCTCTGACAGCAGAGCGATTGAAGCATGAGACACTGCTCCACCAGGCAGACACACCCAGAGACATGCTTGGTAGAACCTACCGCTAATGCATGATTGACAAGGACCAAATCCTGTCCGAGGAAGAAAGACGGTGTTCTGTTGCTTAATCTCAACGGAACATCGGGGGTGGGGGACGACAAACAACACCATGTCGTCCTTTGGGTCACTGGCCCACTGGCTGACGCTTTGCCGTGACAAGAGAGGGTCAGACTGGCAATATGGCTGCCACTGGATTCCAAGCGGTTCATCTTGCAGTCGGCCAGCCACGCATGAGTCGATTGTTGATTGTGTGCATCCCGAATCCTAGTTTACTGCATGATTGGCTTGGGTCAACACCAAGAGATTAGCTTTAGGTAAGTAACACAAATCGCGGCAACCGGAAGCTTCAGCGGTTTTGCTGCTTTCAAAGTCACCCGTATGTGGTAGCTTCAAGTGGACTCTCACGCCGACCCACACCGGCCATTGCCAACATCATGAGCGCTGCAACTGGATTCAATCAAATGCCACTCTCAACACTCCCGTTCACATGGTAAAGAAAGGAATTGAACGCTTTTCAGAATTCCAATAAACATAATACTCGCCCAATCCGGGAGAAATCGCCCACCTCGCACCAATTTAGAGGACTCGGTAGAAAGTGGTATGTCAAAAAAAAGGGGACGCCCAAAATGGCGGCGTTCCTTGCGGTGTCCCTTTTAATTCAACCCTACAAAGCGTAGTTGGCCTCAAAAAGGCACACATCCGTCTTCAAACTCAACGCCTGCGGAGTCGGTCATGGCTAGGCCCTCGCGCCGCTGCTGCGCACCTCAACCTCGCGGATTCGAATCCAACGGTGGCTGTGGCTTGCTCCCAAAACTACCCGAGAGGCACGAGGTTAACGTTGTGTTCACTCCTGTAGCTTGGTCATCTGCCAGAGGCGCGGAGCAACACTGCAACATCAAACACACAATGTATTTATATGGCCATGGGTCAAAAGCCCGTACCCCCAGTGAACGTCCCAATCCCCACTAAAATAGACTACAATGGGTGGTGCACCTACCCCAAAATGGTACCATTGGTTTTGAAACAGAGCCATATACTACAGTCACCAACTCCTGAATTCAAGGCTGGGAACCTTCATGGACGAGCTTCTGTCACCCCTGAGCTTGCGATGATTGACACCAACACCCAGCCGCCTTCCAGGACTCAATGCTATGGAAGCCATGTGGGGGGAAACTGTGTCTTCTATTCCATGAGGCCCAACAGAAGGTGGCAGTGGATCCAAGTAGCCAAACACAAATCCACTGCTGGAAAGGGCCGCGGCGTAGGCCGTCTTTTGGGAATGCGCAGTCCCCAGGATGTTCCGAAAAGGGGGGCTACAAATGTCGCTCCCAGAACATGCAGTTTGGAGACGACCATCCTTAGCTCTTTTCATCCATGAACGCGGCGCCTTGGCCAACTGGTATGCTTGGACTTTATCGGGACCCACTTGGCCCTTGCATATCCTGTTTTGGCGTCAGCAGTTGGGCGTGCGTTATTTGAGGGTACCCTTTACACCTTGGTTTAATGTTTTGAAGGGACACCACACGGAAACTGAGGATCAAACCAGCCCTTGATGGCTCCGAACAAACAACGGATCACAGTGATTGAATCATCCGGGAAGATATGACCATCACTATGCATTAAACAACACTCGATGAAACCCATCACCTAGCGTCCCTCGTGGCAAAGCCAACCGAAACAGCTCCCGAGTTTTGACTGCCATTTTGGCAGCTCAACTAAGGGAAATGGTTCTGGACCGACGGTGGCCAATGCTTCGTTCCCCCCAAACAAGTGGTGAAACAGCCTTTGGATCCCGTGCAAAGGCATCGAACAAGCTGCTTGTTTATATACTTTCCTGCAGACAAGCATGAAACCAGAAGAAAGAAAAAACAATACAAGAAAATTGATGTTTACCGAGGACCCCTTTTTGCGAACTGGACTCTGTGCGCAACTCCTCCCACCGGCCCCCGTCCCCCGCGCCTTGAACTCCTTGAGTCCAGGACACGGCAGCTGAGCCTCGGCCCATGGGTTGCCCGATTCAGCGGGGCTAGTGGAACCACTTGGTGAGTGGAGTCAGTAGCGTTTGGAGAGAACCGTCCGAGCCAGGGACCTCCAGGGTTTCAAAAGGATCCAGCTCTCCGCGTCCATGTGATGCGTCTTTATGCTCAATTTCAGGTGGCGGTTCATCAATGCGCATAGTTTGAGTCAGCCAAGAGGATACAACATCTTGGAAACCAAGCAACGGGTCCAGTCTAACTGAACAGGGTCTTCGTGTTTCTGTGTGCGTGTCCAAAAAAGGGACACCCACACATGGTCGGTGTACCGCTGCGTTCCCGAAGAAACTCACCGCACAAGGGATGTATCCCCTAAACCTCGGGATGAACAGAGACGTTCCTTTGTATACACCGGTGATTGGCCTCTCATACTTGGAGTGACTACATGTCTGCGTATACATGTGTGTGCATGTATGTATTAAAATTAAACACAATATCTATATGCATATCGTGTGTATATACATGTATAATATATATATATATATATTATACGTACCACACCTGTTCCTTCCCATCGGACTCACCCCCAAAATTGCGAACGCGTTGATGGGGCGTCGGCCAAGAAGTCCTGAGAGATGAGGCCTGACCGGAACACGAATCTTCGAGGGCGAAACGCTGGATCGAAAGTCTGACACAAAGTGGGAGTGTGTTGTTTCTCTTTCTTTCTTTTTTAACCTGAACCTCAACTAACACTTCTTGCAGGCAACCTTTTGCTTTTTTCCTGTTGGCTTGCAAAAAAAGGAGGGCAACTCATGGTTGCTACACAGGGACATGGCATCAGGTCGTGTAAACATGAAACATCATGAAACTAACCTCTTGAGCTAGCTCCCAACGTGGCAATTAGCGGAAATCCTTCCCTCTAGCACAGGAAGCGGCCCCAATGCGCCCCAAACCACCCATCCTCCGGACAAAAACGTGCCGCGCTGCTGTGAGGCCCCGAATCACGAGAAAATAGCATGTCCAAACAATATTCATGATGCAGCCAAAAGAAGTAGGTAAGACCAAATAACGTGCTCCTTTTTGAGGGGCCCTGCTGGTAGGAAAATGTTGCCGAGCTTCCGCTTCGGACAAAAAGAACAAATCAGGGCGCCTGCACCCTTCTGCACGATGAGGGGTGCCAAGGGCAGCATCAGGTCCACCTCGACCTTCCGCAGCCGAGTCCGACCACCCAACGCTTGGAGTTCCGAAAATGAACTCAGCTCGCTTGCCGCATTGCCACAAGAAAAGCGGACCTGCGTTGCGCATGATTCATGGAAACTCTTCCCCCAACAAAGGAAAAATGGGGGGAAACAGGTGGCACTGAGACCAAACCGTTCGCCACATTATGTCCTCTTGGCCAAATCGGGTCGGAAGGGATGTATTTGAGGTCAAACTGGAGCCCTATAGTGCTTCGACCTTGGATGTCCCCAGCAACTCCTGCTTTGCCAAAGACTAGCAACCACTTGCCGAAAACCCCGAGTTCCACAAGATCCAACCTTTATGCATCCAGCAAGTAAGGAGTCGCAGTTGAATTGGGTTCCCTGTATCCCTTGTAACCAACCCCCCATCACAATGCAACTTCGTTAAAGTTGGCGGTGACAAAAACGTGATGCTTAAACCGCACAAACAAAAGACACGCATATCTGTTGACCCCATGTTGGGTGCACGGCCAACCGGAAGAAAAAACTTGAGCAACACAAACATTGCAATTGCACGATAACAATAGACAAATAATAGGAACGCATAGCAAGTAAGCTTAGCCCGGCGTTTGTTTGTTTATTTGTTTGTTTGTTTGTTTGCTTGTTTGTTTGTTTGATGGTTGGGAACGGGGTTTTGTCCAGCGTCTTGCAGATTTGCGGTAATTGGCTTCTCACTTTCCCCCGCTCTCTAAAAGCAAACAACTTACATGTGCATGTCTTCAGCTGGCCAATGGGAATGAGTTGGACTTGAACCCGTACAAAAACCAAATGCAAACACATAAAGTTGTTCGGCAACCACATCAGCACATCATAAGACCCAAACACCTTGAAAGCGCTAAACTGGTGGGTGTATAGAAGTTTTCAAGCACGGGGAACCCCAAATGGTAGCCCCTAACGGCAAGAAAAGCTTGACCAAGTTAATCAGGAAAGGAAACCGAAGGTTCACCAACCCCCAGGTTTGAAGTCCCATGTGCCAATGAGGTAAGCACCGATTTAGCGTTTGCCCGCTATAGCTTTTCGTTGAGGATTCCCCGATCCCTTCGGCCCCCAGGAGACCCCAACTCCCAGGACCCTAAGCAGCGCACGTAAGATGCTTCCTCCGGGTCAGCATCCTCAGGCCGCTGGTGGCCGCTGGCAACAGGCCCTGCTTTCATGGCAATCGTCGTTGGGAAGGGCTGTCGTTCACATTTTACGCCAGGCGCTGGTGTAGAACACAAGTTTTCGCCTTGGTTTCGGGACCGAGCAAGGGGAGAGGTTGAGAGGCCTTGTCAAGTTGAGGGATACAGACCCAAAAAGGCGAAAAGGAGGAAACTCGGGCTTGCAAAACCTCTTTGGGTATTCCAAGTTATGGTCTCCACCTTGGCGATGGCTGGCCAAAAGGTTCCCGTCGAATCGTGAGTTGTGCGCCGTTTTTGTGTACGCGCGCCTGTTTGTCTTCAGCTTTGCAAAGCGCACAGTGGCCGAAGATGGACGAGGCCAAAGTTGAAGGGAGGCCAACGGCTGGCAGTTCCTTTTCTGGGTGACTTGTGAAGGGCCATGTTCATGCTCGCTGGATTTTCATAGCGTTGCACGGCCGCTGGTTTTCAATGGCCGCTGGTTTTCACGGCCACTGGGCTTGGTTTGTGCTTGGGAAGCACTCGCAACCAGTGGTTTCTGAGACTGAAAAGAAAGACAACGCAAACACAAAAACAAGCGGCTGGCCTTGCTTTGCTGGTTGATGAGGGAAGCCCAACGCAAAATGGTCTCGCCGCGGACCAGTATCCTCGCAGCAACGAACATGGAAGTGCACAGGCCCTTCTTAGAAAGCGCATTTTCTCTTGGGAAAGAAGCCTCTGCGCTTCCATATTTGTTGGCGGAGGGTAGACGCTTACCCACATGAAGTCCCAGCGAATGCCATACTTGGGTCTTCCATTTGGTCACTTTTTGGGGCTCTGGGCATTTTTTTTGCTCGTTTCAGATTTTGAGCGGAAAAACTAAAAATGAGCGGAAGTCTTGAATTGGCATGATTTGGCAAGTCGTCTCCCGGAAAATGAGCGGAAATCGGCGGGAAATGAGCGGAAATCGGCGGGAAATGAGCGGAAATGCGCGGACACGCACCAGAACCACTTTCCAATTGAGCGTTTTCCTTCGAATTGAGCGTTGTTGGATGAAATGAGCGTTATTTGCCCACGGAAGACCCAGGTATGCGGTGCATAAAAACCTCGCTGTTTTTAGAGTTGCTTCTTTTGGGGTTACCGCTTGTTTTTGTTAATCCCCTTTTCGGCTTGCAGCCTTTTGTTCTTTCTGCACTTTCAACCCCGAAATCACGACCTTTTCATACAAGTGTAGCACACGAAGCACGCGTTGTCAGCTCCAGCTCAAAAATTGAAACTTGTAAGTACAAGTGTAGCACAGCCCACTTTGGCAGCCTCGAAAATCGCAACTTTTTAGTACAAGTGTAGCACACGAAGTACTGTGGCAGCTCCATCTCGAAAAAAGTTGTGTTGTCAGTACAAGTGTGGTCCAGCTCGAAAATCTAAACTTTTTAGCAGAAGTGCGTGCGCAAAGTACACTTTGGCAGCAAAAGGCAATGCGCAAAACGGTAGCGTTTCCGCTGCGCAAGAAGCTGTGATTTTAGAAGATGGCAAGGCCGCAACAACGCCACTTCTCACGATCGTTGTTGTTTTGCAGTGAGACTGGCAGTTTTGGACACAAGGGACCTTCGAATACTAAATTTAAATCAACGGGTTGTTATACAGCCTCATATCATACTTCATCCTTGCATGCCAATACTGCAATACGGCTTTCAGCGGTACAAATATTTGTCGAAACAACCGCACGCAATCTTTCTGGATACCAGCGTATGCAATCTAGAAGCTCAGTGCCGGACACCGGGCTGATCCTTCTTCTTCTTTGGATCCTTCTTCGCATCCTGCGATGCGACTCGATTCTTGGGTCCAGTGATATGCCCAGAGGATGTTCAGCTGGTCTGTGGCAGTTCCGGTAGCAAGCTTCTTCGACGGAGGCACCGAAGATGGAGCAGCCAGTGGTCTGCATTGCAACTTTCAGAATTCATTTCTCCCGTCCTCCCAGATATGACTCGCCGCAAGCCCTCTTCGATCCATTTCGGCCATGCCTAAAACTGGGGTAGCAAGAGTTTGGCTTCGGAGAGCCAGGGCTCTTCAAGCCACAATGAGCGACTCCAACCAGCTATCGTGCACCAAACAATAGGTTCAGAATGGTACAGAGGTACAGAGGTACAGAGGTGCACACGTTGAGCTTAAGGAACCGCGCCTGTAGAGCCTGGCGGTCAATACCAGGCCTTTGCATGCCACTTCTTCACCTGAATGCACCATCCTGCAATGTAGCAATAAGGGTCTCAAAAGAACCCACAACAACAATTACATCTGGAAGCAACTGCATGCTCTGGGCATGCCAGCGAGAGACAATTTAAAGCAAGCCCCGCTTAAAGTCGGCGGTTGAGAATGTACTTGCGGCCTGAGTTTTGCATATCGCGCCCCCTTTACACATCTCCTTCTTGGCATCCTTCTTGCCCCCCGCAGCTGTGCCCGGAGGTGACGGCAAGCTACCTGCAATGGTGGCTCGGGGACACAAAACCGAGCACAAACCAAGTCAAGAGTTGGACCTTGTTCACGCCAGGCAGGCATTTCACCTTGTCTGCTCAGGCCTAGGCACTGGGGCTCCCTGGCTGTATGAAGACAGTTGCGTTGGGAAAACTAGGAAATCTGGTGAAGGTCGATTCCATATGCTGGCTTGCTTCCTGAAAAGGGGCATGACCCAATCAATGTGTCGGTGACCGCCTAGATTCACTGGCCAAAGAATTGGTCATTCATATTCTGACCAGATATATCAAACATCAGCAGAACACTCAATCCTACGTGTCTTGTGACCAAATTTGCGTGCCTGTGCTTCCCAGTTGCATCCTGCCTGCTTGCGGCAAAGGCTTCGTGGGATCCGGGTAGAAGGCCTCTGGGGGAGAAGGGCCGACCCGCGAGGGGAGCGGCCCTGAAAGGGAGATCCACAAAGCCTTCCATTGACATGTCACGCGAGCCCAAAACCCATTCACTGTTGGTTCTACAAAGTTGGTATTTGTTTGCAGCCTTCCTTGTGTCCCCCATAGAACCAGGTATATAGCAGAACCACCTGCAAAATGAATAGGGAGGGCTTTGGGCGATGTTCATGCTTGCAATGGAAGGCTAAACATGTGGTCCACATTTAGGGAAACACAAAATATGTTCTGGTGCGCACATCCAAATGTCTCAGCATGCACTCCCCCCCTGAACATGCCCGCCAAAACTAAACACAGCCGTCCTCACAGTCCAAGCATTCCCGCTTGGGGTAATTCCAACATCACCTGTTGGGCAAACTTCAATGTCGTGTTTTGTTTCTTTTGAACAGGTACATGTAACAAATCCAGCAACGAGCTGTCCAACATTCTTGACTGGTTGAATCAAAGATATGGGTCGATTTACCAAGCGTGTTTGCAGCCGGCAACGAGCAGTCGGGGACCATTCGCCACATGACTTTTGCAGCCGCCAACCATGCTGTTGATTGAAGGGAACGATTCGATCAAGCGGTCTTGAGCAATTCAACCACCAGGTGTTTCGTTGCAAGGAGTCATTTGCCCATTTTGTTTCAACCAGCGGGGCACCCTTCGACCAATGTGTTTTGACAGGCGAACAGAGTTTGACCCCCTAAAAGGTTCAAGTACTTTCTGATACTTCAAGAGAAAACTGTTAAACGTTTAACCTCCTTCACTTCACCCCAACAAAATCATCCCTCTGGGATTCCGGATCCAGTACCTGTATCTACAATTCCTTTCAAAGGCTGTTGAACCCTCTCTGCCCAAACAGCACATACCAACCAAGCACAGTTGAACCCCTTTTAAACTCATCTTAACCCCTTGTACCCCTAAGGATGCCAACCAAGAAAACCATCCCTCGGGGTGTACGACATCCCTCTTGACCTGCCTTGATGCGCAGCGCTTGCACCTGGGCCAAATGCATGCGAAGCTCGCAGTTGGTGTCATTAGGTCGGTTTGTACCAACGGAAAATCAAAGGGAAACTAGTTTGGGGGGCTTGTTTTCTTTATCTCAACAAATCCCCTGTCAGGTTGGGGTAAGGAACATCTAAATGTGACACCAAATGAGAAACCTCAATGCATCAAACTAGAGGTAGCATGGAGAGACAGACCTTTTGCCTCACCAAAAGGGGTTGCCCAAGAATACAACCATGCTTTGGAGTTCCCTTCTCAGCTTGGCCTACACATGAACCAAAAGGAAACCACCATGTTAAGGGTTTCCCCTTTTGCGACACATGCCCACATGGGGAAACCCAAAGTCGGTGGCTTCTCTGTAGCTTCAAAAAACATCTCAACAAAACAAATGTACGCAGACCTTCACACGCACACACAAAACCATGCAATGCCAACTCATGATTGTGTTTCCAAGCGAATCCTCTAGATTAAATGCACCTGTACAGCTAGCAATAAACTGTTTTTGTTGTTTTTTTAAGGCAAGTCACTTGGCCTAATTCGTAGTTGCGCTCTCGCACATTTTTCCGGAAAAGTGAACATGAGCACAAACTGCTGAGAAGTGAGCTCTGGCTGCCTCTCCCTGTAAAGGACAAGCCAATCTTGCCACAGCTCCCGCTCTGTCAGGCAATTGCCCAATTCATCCTTTGGCCACTGCCAAGACAAAAGCGGCCAACCTCCTACAGACTTGGGCAAGTAACGGATTCTGATTTCTTCAGCGCTTTCATTCGCGGTTCCTTAGAGAGGGTTGATCAACAAGGTGGCTCCCCCAACGTGTTGCTCACCACATGTCTTGAGGGCCAACCTGATTTCCAAAAAGGGGCGACGCCAACCCCCCCCCAATCCCAAGCCCTGAACCGCCAAAGACCTCACGAAGGGGCAGCCCGCCCTGCGACCGTGGCCAAAGGGCCGGCTGTCTTTCGGTGGTTCACGGCACGACCAAAGAAAGCTAACCATCTAGATTGCGGAGCTCACCGACCCTACGAAAGGAACCTTCATGGGTGAGGTTGCGAGTTTTCTCAACCATTGACAGGGTGCCCGATTGACGGAAACTCCCAAGTCGGCGTTGCCTCCATCCGCATATACCACGTGCGCCGACTTGTGCTTGCAAGGACGATTCAACCAACTAGCAATTGGGTGGAGGTGTGAGCTGTTGGGGCTCAAACTGCCTAGACCGCTTAGGCGGTGGGGCGCCCGGGGTTTGTCCGATTCGGCTTTTCGTCTGCCCGTCCACGTGGGAGCTCGTCATGCTCTTCCCCTGGCCTACAATTCTTTGGCCTTCGAGGGCCGCAGCCCGTGGTGCCCCCTCGGTCCTTTGTCGTTGCTTCATGCGCTTTCGAGGTGCTACATGTGCCGATCTTCGCGCTCTTGCTGGCCTCTTTGTGGTTCACACACTCCTGCCCTTTTCTCGACTACCTGATCGTTATTGCCCCGATGATGCCACCATGTTCGCCGGGGACTTTGTGCCGACCCGTACAAATGCCTGCTTCTGCGTGGGGGCTTTGATGCTTTGGCAAATGGTGCCAATGCTCCCTACGGGGCCGTGCATTTTGATTGGTAAAGATGGACCTCGAGCTTGCAATTCTTGTGTGGCAGTCGCAACTCATTGCTGGAACCGCCGAAAGGCTCCTGAGCAGTGTGCAGCTTTCCACATGGGCTGGCTTTCAGCGCCCACTGCAGAAGCTTTTTCACTTTGAGTTCCATACCCTTGAGCTTAGCACTGAATACAATGCAGTCGCGGCCATTGGTTTTCTTGAGGGAGTTGATACTTCTGATCCTCTCGGCTGGCGCCCTGTTTCGAGTTACATCCAGCTGCCCCACCTGCGTGTTTTCAGTGGTCGCTGGGCACGATCCAGACGTGGCCGTTTGGGGCTGCCCCTGTGTCGGCTTCTGGTATTGGGCTTTTCAAGAACACTGAGAAGCACCAGTCTTCTTGCCGTGCAGTATTTTGTGCAGGTGGTTAAGGACAAGAGGGGGGCTTTCCGTGCTATGCGGCTCGCCCTTTCTAGCGCATTGCCACTTGTTTTCATTTGGAGCTTGGGCCTCCTTCATTCAAGCAAGCTCTGCCGTGCGTGCTTGGTTTGTCCAGTTCCAACTGGTCTCACTCATCTCTGCACGTGTCCTGTGTGAGCGTACAGAATCGCGTTCGCCGGCAAGGAAGGAGCAATTGGGTGGAGGTGTGGACATTGCAAATCGTTTGGTCAATCCGTTTCGCAACGAGACCCACGCAGAGTTGACACACCCCGCAAAGCAGGCAAAAAAGGAAACTGCTGATGTGAACCGAACTTACCACCGATGTTTGGAAAGTCAGCAACCAATCATTGTATTGGTTGGCTCCACTCACACAGTGTACTTGCTGGGACTGAAGACTCCTGCTAGAGGATTTGTTGTTCAGCCGCCAGCGAATAGGAACAAAACACTTGCACCTGGGCCGAATGGTTGAGGTGCAAATCACTAGAGAAGGAGCGACTTGTTCTAGAACCCATTTCCCGTCAGTGCCCCGCCCCCTTTGCGGTTGGTCGCCTCAAGGGTCACCCACCGGCTGTACACGTTGCATGGACTATGAGTCAAACCAATGCGCACACAAACAAGAATATTAGGCAACAGTACAAAGGAACATAGGCTGATACAAGTCAAAACCTGGATGTAAGCAAGAGTGTGCCCCCCCCGCCCCGCCCACAAGCCTGCCAAATTGCCTCTAGTTGAGCAACAGACACCCTGGATAACATCACCAACGGCTGCATGACAGGAAATGGATGCAACACCTTCCACTAGAAACTCCTGGCGAGGCCTCTAAGCATTGCTTGAAAAACGCTCAATGAGAAGACCCAAATATAAAATTTAGGGAGATTTCAGTATAAGCTTCAGGGCCGCCCCACAATGAAGCCTAGGCAAACATGTCTGGAAAACGGCCAAGACAACGCCAAAACGGTTGGGAGTGTCTGTGGCGGGGTGGGACGGGACACGTCGCGCGGGTCTGTTCTTTTTCTACATTCACTGGCCCTCGCATCTGCACAAAAAAATGCAACAAGCCCCCGAGTCATGACTATTTGTACAAATCCATCCTTCACAAACTCAAATCTAAATCGCATGGTAAGCCTGAACGAAATGCTGCATGATTGTTTTCAGGGATTTGTTTAAGCTTGCTGAGGCCACTGAATCCTTATTGGGGGGAGATCCTGTCTTTGCCAATTCAAACTTGTTTCGTTGATCTCCATTTTGTCATTTCGGGGTCCCTCACTGCCCAAGCTCCCCCGCCCCGGGACCCGGCTTCAGCGAAGGGGACGCGCTCTCGAAAGCTCGGCCCTCGATGAAGTGCTGCGGCTTCTCCTCAGAATTGAACCCAGCAATTCCCTTTCGTGCCGCAAAAAGCGTTGACAAACATTAGGCTGCCACACAATTGTTGTTGTATAATAGAACAACTGCCACACGAAAAGGGCTGCCATCGCAACTTAACGAAATAATTTGCGGTCCATGTTTAGAGGAAGTCCCACGTTGATGTGGCCCATCAGTAATGTTGACCCGGACTCATCCATGCTTCCCAAACAAGTATTCCTGATTCCTTCTTAAATGAACCAACCGAGGTATATGTATCCTGAATTCTCAGTAGACCTTAGCCCAGTTGTTCCTTTTTTGGGACCAAAAGCGTGCACAAGACATCAAACAAGTCCCAGAAGCAACCACGAAGGATGCAATCCTCCAAGGCAGTTCCGTTGCAAATACACATTCCATGTCAATTTCTAGACTTGGTTCAAAAGTAAGACGTTGAAAGGAAGTTGAAAGGAAATCGAAGTCAGTTACCATAGTCGCAAGTCATTTGCACCCAGTATATTGTCATCATGCCAATTCATCCCTGCCACAGGGTCTTACCTCGTTCCTCTACAAGTAGTAGAGCACAAATATATGTATATATATATATATTATTTTTGTCGGGGCTCACATGTGTAGAATGTGTGTATGAATGTTTGGTGGGGTCAGCCCTTGAAGCCTGTCTTGCCAACACTAGGAGCCGTTCCCGGTCCTCCGCATCACCTTCAGGCTTCTCCTCACCGCCCTCCACCGTCGCAGCTTCAGCGTCGATCGGCTCCTGCAACTTGCGGAGGCGAGCCAAGTTGAGACATCAACTTGTTGGTTCTCAGCAAGGAATGAGGGAATGACCCCCTATAAACCATCCCTGGGGTCATTCCCAAGTGAACACCACCAAGCCAACAAGACATCGAATGCAGCTTCTCTTGTCTGCAAGAATGCCACCAGCTATCCTAAATGCCAGAATCATGGATGTCACATCTGCGCAACTTTCTGGCTTCTGCTTTGTTGTCAGGCGAGTTTGCCTCTTGACACAACGTGAACATGCAATGGGATCGGCAATGCTGCGCCATGGTCTTCAATGAGGAAGTTCCTTGAGCGTCACACAACCTCGCAACCTAAACGGACGTAAATAGTAGTGTGTTTTCGCACAACCAAGGCCAGCTGAGAACGAAGGTTGGTTTATATTTTATTCAACACACCAGAAAGAAAAGGAACAAAAACAACACAATCCTCCTCCATGGGTGAAGCAGCGTGGAGCGGGCTGCTTTCAACCAATTTGCCTAAGAACCAGCAAGTTGAACAATATAAGGGGGCGAACCAACTACACTTCTTAACTATGCCATAACTTTTTTTCGTTTGGAGAAACCATACAACTACATTCGACGGACATTGCAGCCCCCCAAAGAATCACTTGAGCACCTGAACAAGAACCTGCAAAAATAAAGCTTCCTTTGACAAGTTGGGCTAAAACCACGTTGGAAGAAACCCACCCGACCCAAAGAAACGCCAAACCGGGTTCTACAAGGAGACTCCTCCACAAAATGGATCAGTTTTGCTCCATGTTCATCTGCAGGAATGTCCCCCATAAACCACGCCCCGGTTCATGTAAGTTTCCTGGGTTCACTCCCGACCCTTCAATCTCGAGAACCCAAAAGGACCAGCCGATGATTCTTCAGCACCTCCGGCACTAGCTCCGGCTCGCCCACCTGGCACTGCTTCCCTTCACTCAGCAACCCCCTCGACCCATTGAAAGGGGGCAATGGCAATTGGTTTGTTCCAGTCAACTTTGCAAGTGGCAGTGGACATGGGCTTTGTGGCGAAGCCTCACTCGCAAAGCGGAGGGCCTTGAACAACAGTCATGGCCTACGCCAACACCTTGCAACTTCCTGAGGGACAAACGGCCAGCCACAAGGTCAGTTGAAAGCCGGGTCTCGAAAGAAGCGTTTAACCACTGGCCATCTCCACATGCCGGAACCCTTTTAGTAACCACAGGTGAACCCCCAACAATGTGAGAAACCCATGCATCGCACATCACGCAGGCAAGAACCGATGCTCGTCGTTTCCTCCGCAGTCTTCAGTGGCTCAATGCGCTGAACCCGAACTCTCCGGTCATCTCCATCCGAAACCAACCAACACGTGCTGTTTATCACCCAGTACCCCGCCTTCTGCCAGCTTTCGGCCGCCAAAGGGCCAGTGGCCACGGGCGCAGCAATCTCACCTCACCAAGCCCAAAGCAAAAGCAAGGTTCAAGGAATGTGGTCATGGAACCGGAACATACATTTGGCCATGGGTCAAAACCCCGTACCCCCAGTGAACATCCCCATCCCCACTAGAACGGGCTAAAATGGGTGGTGCACCTACCCCATGGGATCCCATTGGTTTTGACCCACAGCCATTTGGCAAAGTCGATTCAAACGAACAGTAGCTATCTTTAGCTTGAAGGGCAAGCCATGCTTCAAGGCGTGATTGGGCCAAAGGCGAACGAATTCAACTGCCTCCATTCATGTCGGTTTCTTCTGTTCGTGTTAGGGGGCACTGCAAAAGTAGGGTTGCCTCTCAAGAAGGGTAGCGGCATGTAGCGGCAAAATGGAGCCCCTCCAAGTAGTTCCCTTTTCAGCGGACAAAATGCCCCCTGAAACCCAGGCGCTATGGCCAAAAGTCGGGGGAACGATCCTCTCGTGGAAACTGCGAGTCCTGAGGCTCTCAATTCCAATTTTTTGGGATGGAACCATTTCCTGGCAGACCTCCAGATTCACTAGCTGTGTTTGTTCACTGAAGCCAATCAAACGGTGGGCAGCAATTGTAACATCATGCCCCCCTTCTTATGGAAAGCGCCAAACCCACCCAAAAAACGTCATACCTTGCCAAACCACACCAGGATGTTTGCCCTGACTCATCTACTTCCCTGGCTCGTCCACAGGCGCCAAATCCTTAAATCATGGCGTTTTGTGAACTAACATCGTATTTTAGGACATCATGTGTTTGGCCATCTGCGACACATTGTTCCTTTCGATCACCGCTCATTTACAGGTTGTTTTTTGGGGGGGCATCCGTTCAATTCGGGGTGGACCCGACAAAGGTCCCAAATTGTGCCGGATGGCTGCAAACAGTATAACTACCGAGTAAACCACCATTCCAACTCGCGCAGAGTGGATTTTGTCCAACAACAGTACGTTACGGCGGCAGGCGTCCCTGGTCTTTTCTTGCCCATTGAGCGCGGCACCGCCATCGCTGAACCAGGTGAAATTGAAGGCGACCTCGGGGTGGTCTGGGGTGGAGTCGATTCAGCTTGGGGTGTCACAAAATTGGGGGCGCCTTGCTTGTGCTTTTAAGATCTTTATAGGAGGCAACCTACACGCTTATTTGTTTATCATACAAGTGGAAGGGAGGGTTTAAGGGAGGGGGCTAGATGAGGACGTGTGTACATGCTTAAAGGTCGTCTAGTTTGGCAAACCTCCAGCTCAGCTTGATGCCTCCAAGCCTCCAAAAGTTCCCGGCCTTCCCAAAGGATGACACCACAGAGTGACTGGCGATCCCTCAACCACAAGGTGCTCAATTTGCGTCGTTTTGCCCAGCCCAGCAGCCGGCGATCATGATCTAACTAAGACAGGATTGAGCCCATGTCACTGGGGTCACTGAAAAAAAATGGGTCGAAACACCCCATCTCGGCCCCCGACGTGCTGGAGGAAGTCATCATGACATCGGCACTCGATGGATGCGGTGAACGAAACCTGGTGACCACTGCTTGCCAAGCGCTTCCGGCGCCTCCCCTTCTCCCTTTGCCCTGATTGGAAAGGAAGAGGGCGTCGATCATACTGTGGATGGACACCACCTAAGAAACCCTGGACTGATGATTCCCCTGTAAGTACCAACAACGTGATGGTCATAAGTTTCCCATGGTTTTAAAGTGGTGCAGAATTTCGTCCATCCACACTATCATGTGGGACGTCACAAAGGTCCTCATGGGGTTGATATGGCCATGGACTCCCGTAGACTTGTTTGTTTCGCAAAGAGGGAAAACACCAGTACCAATTGTGCACGTTTGGGAGACCCCCAAGCACACCACCTCCACACCACCCGTTGGAGAACACAAAAACAGACCAAACGTGTATGTGTGTTTGGGGTGGGGTGGGGTGGGGTGTATATATTTTCTCTAATATGTGCGTGTCTCTGTGTGTGTGCGCGTGCGTCAGTGCAGTGCAGTGCAGTGCACTGTAGTGCAGTGTAGTGTGGTGTGGTGTAGTGTAGTGTGGTGTGGTGTGGTGTAGTGTAGTGTACGTAGGGTAGGGTAGGGTAGGGTAGGGTAGGGTAGGGCAGGGCAGGGCAGGGCAGGATAGGGTAGGGTAAGGTAGGATGGTGTGGTGTAGTGTAATCCCGTGTTTCTCAAAATAGGGGGCATGAAGAGATGGGTCGTTTCCTTGAGGCATTCCTTTTTAGACCATCCAAAAAGGGCTTCGTCATTTTGAGAACCCCAACTACATGTTCTTGTAAAAAGGTCCCCCCCTATGTGGCACAAATAATTTTCAGTCGGGCAACACATACCTTGAGCTTGGTCCGCAAGCCTGCTGTTCACGCGGACCGAAATGCAACACCTCAGATATGTTTGAACGTAGCGCCTGGGCTCAATGGAGGCCAAAGGAAACCTTAAAAGGACACCAACCTTTGGTAGTCAAGCTGCACCCTTTAAGAAAATAATTCCCGGGAGCTTTTTGTTGGGTTGAACAGCCCAACTGTAGCGGGGAATCCACGGAACAACAATGGAGGCGCGGAACAAACGTGGAAGACTTGGCCACGTAACTTTCTGTTTGAAGCTTCATATTTAATGTACCTAGCTTGAAATATACAAACATATAACCTAGTTTTGGAGGAGACCCTGGAAACCGGACTCCCCTGAAATTGGGCCCAGTGCCTCGTTGCCCGGGAAGTCTGGATCTGGCTTGGGATCCAGCCACGGCCTGAGCTACCGCCAGAGACTCGTGTTTAGCCTCTTTACCTCGGCTCAAAATAAATAGGGGAAACCCTGAAATTTCCCCAAAACCTCAAGGCCAAGAAGGGTATCCCCCAAACAAACGCCTACTTTGGCATTGCTGGGTCCATTCACCGCAATGGAACCAGTATTGACAAACTGATAAGGGGTGCTACCGTGTCTCAGGAATCTCTCTCACTCAAATGGGGAAGGGGGGGGGCAACCCTCAGCTCTCTCAATACGTCAGTAAGTCTTTTTCATCTCTCTAGGACTTCCGTGGAGACATATGTGCATCTGGGTGAACTATAGTTTACCAAGCTTATCAGGCGAAACCCCCAATGCGATGTGATGGTATTCCCCTTGCGATCCTGGTCTATCCACTATTGGGTCTTCCCGCTCTCCGCGACGTGTATGCCTGTTTCTCATTGCGTGTTTGTTTGTTTTGTTTAAACAGACAAAACACAGCAAGCGCAACCTACGACCAGCACATGTCACTCAAGGCCCCAAAGGCATCCGTTTGCACCTCTTGAAGCCATTGCCTTACCTCATGGAAAGCACCTCATCGGCGACTGCAAAGGAGGCAACGGAAAACGTGGATCCCCCCATCCCAAAAACTGATCTCCCCACGATCTCCGAAGAACTCCTGTCATTTCGGTGGGTGTTGCAGAATCTCCAGCGGATCTGTCGATATATAAGCGACCAAGGCATTCAAAGTTCCCCGGGTGTGGCAGAAAAGGTGATTGTTTCCTGGGCCTCCAACATGCAGCCTTGCGCGTCTCTTTGGATACCCCATGGCGCACGTTACAGCTGAGAAAGATGAACCCTGTTCCGTTTCCTCCTCTAGCAGACCTGGGGCTGCAGCGCAACGGCTAGCATGTCCTGCGCGAAAAGCCGACAAAGCCAACAAGGCTGAAGGCCTGATCAGGCATGTGTGCTCAAGCTTTCTTGCCATGTTGGTGCGGCTTTTCAAAAAAGGCAAGCTTCAAAACGACAAACAAACAAACAAACAAACAAACAAACAAACAAACAAACAACAAACAAACAAACAAACAAACAAACAAACAAATCCAAGGAGTCCGACTGGTCAGGCTTTCAAGACAAGGAATCCCTGGGGCCTGACCATCCCTTGCCGTTTTGCCCTTGCGACGTTCACAGCTGACATACGCAATCTAAAGCTCAATGGCTTCTGGAAGCCTCTGTCAACCCGCAGTCGCACTCTGGACTTGAAAATTGCTTGACATGTACACGTGTAGACATCCCCCTTTGACGAACATACGCGATACTGGAAAGTCCTCCAACTACCAGTCGCAATGCTCTTGTGCTGAATGTGACTCCAAGAAATCATCAGAGGCCTGGCGGCCTGCCCCAAACTAATCTGCCGTAAGTTTGTCCGCCATGTGAATCCGACGATGGACCAACACTCCACTGAAGTAAAGCAGCAGAGCAGCCCACTTGACCGCGCAAGTGGTCTCTGCAAACACTGCCTGCGGCTGTGACATGCGCTGTCCTTCTGTCCCCTGCAGATGGCATGGCGCCAGTTCTAAGCAATTGTAACATGTATCTCGTGACTCGATGCATGGTGTTGTGATGCAACAAATCTAAGACACTGCATGTCTTCTGTGACTTGACATCAAAATCTAGCTCCAAACAAACAGTCGTTGTAGTTTTCCAAGAAATAAAACAAGTGAGGCAATCAAATCACAGGCTTGTCCCGCGGTGAAGATCAGCAACAACATGTCGCCACTGCAAACTGCCATGAGCATTGGCTGCCAAAAACAAGAGGTACGTGGCAGGAACATGGAGGTCTCCGCTATAGACATAGAAGACAACAAATATAATTTGGTGTATGTTCTACGCCCAAACGGCAACTGATTTCTCTACCGCCGGCTCAGCCGCCTGGTCTTCAGGCTGGCTCTGAGTAAGCCAATGTGCCGATGCGCGGGCGGTGAGGCACAACCAAAACCAGCAAACTCTGAGCAACTGTGTCCTCCTTGTCAGCTGAGATTCCCCCAACATGTTGTCTGTTTGCTTTATGTTGGTGCTTGTGCAGGCGTTGGAGCTTTCGGCGTTCGCTTTGTGAGTTCTTTGTGCCAATGCTGGTGTTGTTCATTTTAGTTGCAACAGTCGAAACAAAGACTCTGTGCTTGGAACATCACATGCCGAAGCGCTAGTACCTGCAGTATGTTGGAATTCGAACACAGATTCCGTCTTGGAATTTTGGTCAAATTATGTGTACAAGCCGATTCATACAAGAACCCATTTGAGCATAAGCGTGGCTCCAAAGAGTCACTTAGATACGGGTGCCAGTGCAACACTCGCAGTGCTGTTCTTTTGCGATGAAGCCTGTCCCATTGCCAGGTGGTTGAAAAGAGAATTTACCACTCACCACCTCAAGAAAACCACAACCCACCCCCCCTCCCCCCCACCGAAGAAAAACAGCCGCCACTGCAACTACTCCAAGTTTGTCCTGAAACCCGCATGGCCAAAAACAAGCCGGCCAACCCCGGCGACTCACTGGTGCTGGCCTCCGGGACCTTGAAACCGCAACTAGCTCGAACCTCCAAACAGATTTCACATATCCAAGTTGCCATGAGAGGATTCCCCCACGCATTTTTTCGTTTTTTTTTTGTTGCTGCAATGTTCGCAGATGAGAAATGGAATCGAAACCTGACCGCACCTGAAACTGCCCTCCGCCAGCTTGTTCAGCTCGGCGACGTCCCGGGCCTGACTGGAAAGGACTTCCTGCTGGAAAGCTGGGCTCCAGTCACATAGTTCCCCCCCAGCACGAGGAAACTCACTTCATAAATTGGCCCAACAGGCGCTTTTAAAGCCAACCAATTGGGAAAATCTACGGAACCCTGAGTCTTGTTGGGTCGAAGTAAGCACTCGTGTCCCCAGTCGGGTCCTTAAAGCTCGCGGATCTGACCGCTCTGCAAAAAGTTGTAACTGGTTGCTTGAAAGGGAAACCACGGCCCCTTTTTGGGGGTGGGTTTTGAAGGGAAACCAGAAGGACATGATGGTTTTGAAGCTTGCTCTACCTGATTGGTTTGTTCACAGTTCAACACCAGGTGCCGAATCCGGAGAGTGAAAGTCTCCCAAGATGGGCAGAGCCAATTGCAGCTCTCATGTGCCAAGTGGCTTCCTCCATTGACCTGAAAGAAAACCCCACCCCCAGCCCCCCAAACGCATAAGCTTGGGAAACCTGCAGAATTACAAGGCCGCACCTCTTGGCCCAACAGAAGGACTTCTGCGTTTCTTCCTTTCGGCGTATTCAAGCAGCCCGACAGTCAGGGCTGCGAGCCAGAATTCGGATCCCCGACTGAAAGTCACGGACCCATTTTCTTTAAAGGCGACACGGCGCAAAAGTGCGTGCCAAAAGCTAGCCAACCTGAGTTTGACAACCACCCCATCCTGGGTTTTTGAGGAACCAAAGGATACTGGGTAGGCCCCATGTCTTCTCTCGACCAAGCATAGACCTGCAAACGGTCCAACCCTTTCTAATGGCAAAGCCGAAGGGGTGTTTGGGGTCACCAAAGACCAGCCATGAGACTAACCACCTGCATGTGGAAATTTTCTCTCTGGCTTTCCTTTGAAACCAACAAATGGAACCATTACAACGGCAGCACTTCCGTATCCTCCTTTTGCTTAAGCCCCCTGGAAAGATTGTCTTTAAAACCAAAAGGGGAAAATAACCAATATTCATAATTATAAGCAAATGAAAGGTATTACTCGCTGCTCACAGGCTCCCGCAAGAAGTGCAGATCCCTCGGCCTCCTCATAGGTGCAGCCGCCCACTACGAAGATCACCGCTCGCCGGGGCGGGTCTTTGCCCACCGTGGTGCCTCAGATTTTTCAGCGGGTCAACCGGATTTTGAGGGACAGGGGTCCTTATAAAGCACACATGTCTGAAAATAGGGGCCCGTTTTGCGAAAGGTCTTGGAGGGAAATCAAAAGGACACCAACCACCTGGAGGGGTCCCCAACTCTGAGAAATACAACCTTCGTCCCTGGAAGCCATCTTTCAACAGAAGCTTCTTTTCAAAATGGGCCAAAGGGTGATCCCCGAAAGGTTTTCTCGGGACCCTTGAAGGATTCCTCCGGGGAAGCTTCTGAAACGGTACCTCTTTCGAGCGCATCGCAACAGAGGGAATAGCTTATTATCGGAATTGTCTATAAAAACTCTGTCTACATGAGCTGGGAGAGGGGTTTAGGCTGGAGTGACTGGCACACTTCAGTGGTCGGTGACCTTTCTTCAAAGCCTCCACTTCGCCAATGCCAATCCACTCCACGCTTTTTTGGGCTGTCAGGGCGTCCTGCTGCTTTCGCGTCATGTGTTCAGGGGCGCCATGTGCTGCGTCAAATTTTCAGGGGAGGCTGAAAAACCGTTGTTGCAGGGTCCAGGTAAATATCTATGTGTGTATATATATATATATATATTATATATATATATATATTACGTGCAATTCTTGTTGATTGTTCTTGTATCCAACCTAAAATCATATTTTTTACAAGCGCACCAGCCTCCCGAAAAGCGCGCACCCAAATGAGCCGTGATGTTTTTAATGGTGTGGGGCCTATACACTGGAAGCACATACCTACGCGGAGGCTACGCGGCTGTCTTTCCCCCTAGGAATTTGGCTACGCGGAGGCTACGCGGAACATATTTGTTGATAAGTGGCTACGCGGGGGGCTACGCCGGGGCTACGCGAATATGCGTTGGCAACCGGAAGTAGTAGTAGCACCAGCAGCAGCAGCGGTAGTACTGGTAGCAGCAGTAGTAGTAGTAGTAGTAGTAGTAGTAGTAGTAGTAGTAGTAGTAGTAGTAGTAGTAGTAGTAGTAGTAGTAGTAGTAGTAGTAGTAGTAGTAGTAGTAAGTAGTAGTAGAAGTAGAAGAAGAAGTAGTAGTAATATTGGTAGTAGAGGTAGAAGTAGAATTAGAAGTAGAAGTATAGTAGTAGTAGTAGTAGTAGTAGTAGTAGTAGTAGTAGTAGTAGTAGTAGTAGTAGTAGTAGTAGTAGTAGTAGTAGTAGTAGTGCTAGTAGTAGTAGTAATGGCAATAGTAGTAGTACAAGGCATGTGGGCCAGTGGCCCTGAATACGCCTTGGAGGCTACACGGAGGCTACGCGCAGGCTACGCTGAGGCTACGCGGAATGAGCGAACTCAGTTCTGGCCGGGCCAAAGCAAATCAAATTCACCCTCTTTCTCTGAGACATGCAAGCTTTCAACCTAAGCCTTGAGCTCAAGACAAAGGATCTAGGCAGAGGCCGGACGATTATCGACAGCTCCCTTTGCTAGTGGCTACGCGGAGGCTACACGAGGCTACGCGGTCCCAGGATTAGGCTACGCGGCCACCATGCCAGTTCCCCTCTCCTTTTGGCTCCTGCATTAAAGAAAAAAAAACGCTGCTCAAATGGGAAGCAGCGGTTGCCCCATCCGCGAGCGACACATCTGAGCCACGCCCGGGCTGCCGCGCCGCCTTTGCTCTGCATGTAGGGATAGCAGGTCTGGCCAAGCAAATCGCGAATTCATTCACTCTGGGTCTGGATCTGGATTCTCGTATGACCCTCAAAATGGCTGATTTCCCTGTCGGTTTCCCTGTTACTTTCCCGGAAACTGGGTCTAAAGTGACATCCTGAAACTACCGTCAAAATCGTGGTTTGAAGAGAAGTCAGCCCCAATAATTACCTTTCAGGACCCCTCAAAACGTTCACTTGGACCCAAACGAACTCCCAAAAACCGCCTGAAGGGTCGAAACCACGGTTTAGGGCAAATGTTCAAAACACCTCTCTGCACGGGTGAAGTCCAGCCATTACGAAACGGGAATCAATGCACAATCGCCCAATTTGGAACACCTAGGCGTCTCCTGTGCCTTTTGTATACGTGAGTTACAAAGAAACCTGGTAATGATGCGGTCTCCCCAAAAACGAAACAACAAGAACCAAAAGGGCGGATATCCGCACCTATTCCTGGTTGGGACTGTGCTTTAGCCTTCCAAGCAGGTTTTGATTCTGGCTCCAATAAACATCTGACCCCAAGCTGCTCATTCCCGGGCTCCGCGCCAACGGCCGACAGAAACAGAAAAACCAGCGCATCCAGTGTCCAGGTAAATTGGACCTTCAGCACCGTGTTCGCTCGTGAAAAAAACCACCTGGAGAAAGAAGTCATTGGTCAAACGAACAAGCGGGGATACGGAGGGAGCGGGGATATGGGGGAATTCCCTTGGCGCCATTTTCAATATCAAACTTAGTCAAGGTGCATCAAACGGGGGAATCCTCCCATATCCCTGGTTCCCCCTGTATCCCTGCTAGTTGGTTTCCCTGAAGTCTGCCTACCGATCCCTTCTTCGAGCTTGCCCAATCTGGGCCTCCTTGAGTCGGCCCTTCATCAGGGAGTCTACCACTGTGGAGATGTGGCTCTTGTGCTGCGTGTAGACCTCGCGTTCCCCCCTTCAACCGGAGATGCGGCTGTGTTGAAAGCACAACGCCTGGCAAAATGCAAATTGGTTCGAAGCCCTCTTGAATTCGTGCCTAAATGAAATTCAATTGAAGTTACAGGACAGTTGATGTCTTCAAAGGAATCCACCGCATATGTTGGATTGATGTGCTTCTGTTCCCCTGCGCAAACTTAGTGTCCCCAGAACAAGCAGGCAGAGCACACATCGAAAGCCAACAGCCGATCCCACAACAAGATGCCTTTGAAAAATACAACCTGCCATGGAACCCAAAGAACCGCCATTTTGCTTCAAGGAGCCTCACTTTGCGGGACCCGTTGTTTTCAGTTTCCAAGGCAGCAGGGCAATCGCCGACCACGGCTTGCGCAGATCAAAGGGCCACCTCGTCCAGTCGGATTTGGTTGTCGAATTGAGTGACCCTAGCCCAGATAGGAGCCTAAATTCGGTTCGTGGATGCAACGCGCATCATTGTCTTCTGGTGCAAGCTGGAACCAGTTTATTGAGGTGTGTCCTATTGACTCATTAGGGGCATGACCAAGTATAACGTTCCTGCCATGCAAACAGTCCTTGATCGAGTTGCGAACAATGCATAACAGGCTGCACGTCGTCAAAAAACATAAGATTGCCAACGCAAATGGCCAGCCAAGCTCACAATGCATCAAGCATATTAAGACTGTCAGACATTAAGCACCTGCTGAACTCCTTCAGATTCTGGTCAGGAGCCAGTAGACCAAGCCCCCACTTTCTCCTCAAACAATAGCCAGGTGTTGCCGCATGATGTTGTCAAAGCGATCCAAGGAGGTGGTGAGACCATAAACTCACCAAGTCTGCATCGCCAATGGACTCAACGTAGTTGTTCATCGGAATATGACAATACGTGCAATCCACATCAATCCACAAGATTGGCGCCATTTGGCCACATATGATCGCTATGGGAAGCCAGTGGGGAAACATCCCGGCTTGCCCAACAGGAAAAGGAAGCAATTGGCCAGTTGGTTAGTCGGACGGCCAGTTGCTCAGTGGGACCCTTTCCACCTGCTTCCGGAAAACAAAGGCAACCGGTGAGGGAAAAGGGCAGGCAGTGGGTTTGGCAACAACAGAAAGGCTGGGTTTTGCGGGGAACCAGCAAAAAACAAAGTCCGATTCTACGCGGGCCAAATCCACCCCTTCAATAATGTGGTATAAAAGCTCGAACAATTCCTCCGGACACTTGATAGCTGACAACTACCTGAACATTGCCGGGACACTGCAAACAAGGCTCACTCTTTGGAAGGCTGGCTCTTTGAAACCAGAAACCCTAGCGGACACCCTCAATGATCAGCTGGAATTGCGTTGAAATCGTTGAATTATGTTGAACTCAAATTCAAAGGCTGTCTGTTTTGGGAGACCAAGCAAACCGAACGGAGATGTGACATGCGGCATTCTCCACGCCCTTGAAGCTGTTGGTCAACGTGCTCTTGGCCTGTCACATCGACGGGGATCTACCGGAGCTGGCACTGCTGGGTTTCTATGGCGCGGTGAGGAGAGAGGCGTTTCCCAGGGCACGGGGCTTCCCATGACCTTTCAATGGCCCGGCAAGGCCACCAGCCACGAAGACAAGTTTCAGCTCTAAGGCTCAAGGCACTGGTTCTTTAACTGGCTACTGCCAAGGCTTGGAGTGCAAACTGCCCTTCGTGACCCTTCACGGGTGGGCTCCGTGTCCTCACCCTTGCCGCGCCCTTGCAAGGGTGGCAGTTTAGACATGTGGAATCCGTTTTTCCGCAAATACAACAAGACATATAGTTGGCAAGAGTTGAACAACAAATTGGCATGGTAGAATCCCGGGTGGCACGTGTTCTGTCATATTCAAAACACCATTGAACCGTCGCAAACCAATTTACTTTTGGTTCTACTAGCGTTGTAAAGGTGTATATAGGCGTTATTGTAAACCCAATTAGACCAGGTAGGAACCACACCACCTAAAATAATGCCCCGTTTGGGATTTTTGGGGGCCGGTGAGACAGCCTGAAGTGCAGCCATGGTCTGGCTGCTTGACCGTTGCCGGAAATTCTCGTGGGCCAAGCATGATAGTGGGGGAAACCATAATCTTCCAGTCAGTTGAAAGACTAAACATGGCCAAGCCAAAGAACGCTTGGCCTCTTCTGCGGCTTTAGCTACTGGGATCTAGGGCCCGTTTTCGGAAGCTTGACAACCACGTGAATGCTAGCTTCCACATGCGATAGGCTCTCGTCTGCATACAGTTGGATGGTTCATGATGGTTCCAACTTCTTACACGCTGGATGCCTAGTTTAGCTGCAAGCTGTTGCTAGCTCCTTCCCGTGCACTTCTTCAAACTAAGCTATGCATGTTCCGTTGAATGGAACATGTTAAGTGCATGAAACTGCTAAACGTGACTTTGCCCAGGACTTGTGAGCGTGGGCATGCGAAAACTATCATCGCGTGAGGCTTGCAGCTATGGGTGTTTCCCTGAGATGGGGGACCGCACCCCCCCCTTTTCACTGTGCTACAGGGAAACCCCAGCAAGCCGGCGTGCGTTTGGGGCTCCCACATGCAACGTGTGCATCGGCGAGTTCGCAACTTAGTCACATTGATACGTGAACGACATGGCCTTGTCCGCATGGAAACCTGTGTAGCCCTCCTTTCGGGTGTCCGGAGCGGTCCAACTTCACCGGCGGTCAAAGCACAAAGGAAAGGGATTGAGAACTAACTCGTGCGGCAAGTGCAAGTGCTGTCGCAGGCGAACCAGCGGCTATCTACCACCAAAAAATTACAGATTGCCCTCAATGGTTGTCCTGGCCCCCCAAAAACACAATTCCCCCCAATCGAACACAGGGGCATACGAGGCCTCTCTGGACTCACAGAAAATCAGCTCTCTAAGCCCCGGTGTTGCCGGTTTCGGAAGGTCTTTGGCAACCAGAGCATCTTTGGGCGCACAAAATGTTCTGACGGCATGCCGCTACGGCCGATTCCCGGGCATCCCGGCCAATTGCAGGAAGGATTTGTTTTGGAAGAGGTCGCTGTTGCGCACTTGCCTTGCCGCTGTTGCTACCGAGTTGATCTGAATTCACGTGCGAGTTGGTTGGTGAGTTCAGCAAATCCACCTCAACTACTCGAGGGCAATCCTGTGGCGTTAGAGCTCTTTGCAAAGGATCCTGACGGCTTTGGAGGGCCCAGGTTTCGCTAAATAGCTTGACTTGCCTTCGCTGAGGTTCATCTAACGGTCAAAACGTATCATACGCTTATTGTGCGTGTTCTCCTTCGCCTAGGGTGACTATGCTCAGCAAAACATTAATTACCCAAGTCTCATGCGGTTTCATAGTATCAAAGCCAGCTTGATGTGGGAGCGATCATGCCCCTCGATCGCTATGGTAAACCATATCATTGTTTCTAAGTCAAGTCAGTGATGCTACATGACGAGCCCCATGGAAGATATCCTTCTTGGTCCAGTACACAATAGCATTGCCATCCCCATGGCTGGTGTGAAACCAGCCCGTTCTGTTCACATAAACCAGCTGGTAGGGAGGTCCCTTAGATTGCTGTAAAGTTATGTGGGCGATGCACTAGGCACCTTTTGCGAGAAGGGGATGCCACTTGAAACCATGAGTTAATCCAATGGAAGCAAGCAGGAAAACAATGGCAGCCAGAGGGGCCAGAAGTATTTCATCTGAATCTCACGGGAAACAGGACTCTGCAGCCAAACAAGGGCACAATGACGTTGCGGGCGAGTGGCGAGCCGGCGTGGCGCAACAGCAGGTCGATGAGGCCGAGCCCTGGGTCAAAGATTCTGAAGTCTCTCTTGAGACCACGGGTCCTTCTATGTCCCCTTTGAACTATCCTGCCAAGCCAGACCTTTCCATTCCAACCGATTTCGGCCCTGCCAGCCAAAAGGAAAAACCAGTGAAATGGAATTCCTGTTTACACCTGACAAAGAACAAGAGCAGCATCGACTCGCGACATCGGGACTCGGGTCGCGAAACTCGGCTGGGGCTTGTGCCCATTTGGTCCTCTCCCACGCCCTTTATGCGGAGCTGCTCCTGACACCGAGGAAATGAGTTTGTGATGCTCTGTCCTTCAAAGAGCCACGCAACGGCCAGGTTTGAAGGTGATCTGATACCTGTTGTCGGCTTCCCTCTCATTGGTGGTTTGGAGCCCTTTTTTGATTTGGTGGTTAAGGAGGGGTTCCCTTTCACCACTACAAAAGCCAGGGGTTCCAAATCCCAAACAATCCAAAACACCAACTAATGGTTACCTGAGACCTTCCAGGATGTGGTTAAAAACATCTCGGTGATATCAACATACGCCATGACTTTACGGGGAACATGCTTAACGTCACAAGTAGCTGCCCTAAAGCCCAAGTGTCCACAATCATGCACAAGGTGTCTTTCAACTGGGCCAGGCTTACTTAGACTGCAAGTTACTGGTTGAAAAAAAAACTAAAGGAAACTCAAAAAGGCACCAAACCTGTTTTGGCTGGATAAGTCTCGCAATGCTGAGGGTGTCAAGTTGGGTTTGTGTAGAGATGAGACAACCCCAAAATGGGGCCCGATTGTCCTTTTGGTTTCCCTTGAAAGCCATCCCGAAGCTGGTGCCCTCTCAAAAAACAACATCTGTTCATCATGTAGCAGTTGAGATGGGGATGATGTTTCGCCTTGATTCTCAGGGGTTAGGGGTAAGCTCTGTGTTTTTAGGTTCATGGCCAAAAACCGCTTGTCAGCCGCCAGAGCAAAAACGAAGATGCTACCTGAGTTTGTGCCACTGAGCAGCAGAACAAATTTCCTGAACGCCGAATAGTCTGGGGAAAAGGACCAAGCTGCAGCCCAACATTCGGTAAATTTATTTTGTGTGTTTGGATTGTGGGGAAGGAGAGAGCGCCTTGTTCGAAGGAAAGATGTCATGTAAAAAAGACAAGCTTCTGTTTTGGCGAGCTTGCTTACTTTGGTCCAGCCTATGTCGCAACCTTATTTGTGCGGAAGTCAGCAAAAAACAGCGTCACGTCGGTGAGCTTGGCATGTGCGTGTGTCTATCTCGTCAAAAAAAACTCCTCTCCTCCAAGAGATTCATGAGAGGGGATCATTCGCTGGGACCTTGAGAAGGGAGCAAACGTCGAGCCTCCAATTTCTGCTCGGATTCAAAGGGACACCCGCCGGAATACACTGAACATCAAGGCAACTAAAAGGTAGTGAAGGACTAGGGCAATATCATGGCCAGAACAACGAACATGTTTCTCTTCTGAGTCGAGCATGACTTTATTTGACTTTGAATATGCCTCTAAACGCATTGCAAAATGTTTGGACCCTGAAAGTAGAATCAAACTTGGCGTCCAACTCCTCCACCCAGTCCCGGCCTTAAGCTGCGCGATGGAGTGGTGCTCGTTCTCGTACCTGGGCTGTGTGTCTCTCTCCTTGGTTCGATAGACAGGAAATGAGGCGGAATGACCCCAAACTGAACCAGCAGTTGTGGCTTTATGTAGGGAATCACTTAGTGCAATCCCAACACCGTATTTCATTGAAGACTAGTCACTGAGAACAAGCAAGTTTCCAGAATTCAAAGCGCTTCCATGTGTTTATGTGTGTTGGGCCTCACGTCGTACGGTCAAGAGGCCTCGCTAGCTGTTGGATTCTCATGAATCAATTGAAAGTTGATAACGAATCGAGCCGGTTTGAGCCATCGTCACGATGGGGATCTCCGTTCAGCTAGACAGACGGACGGACAGAGACAAAAGCAGACAAAGACACATAAAAACGCAGACACACGCGCACACAAACACACATTTGCAGGATGGCTGGCTGGCTGACAGACAGACAGAAAGACAAAAAAAACAGACGGAGAGACAAACAAACACATATAATCCCACATAGTTAGATCTGGAAAGAAACTTGTCATAAGTGCGCGGTGGACATCAATACAGACCTAAATGATGCTAACCAAAGGGCTCCCGTTGCGTGCATTTCGTCCGCGCCTCAAAGCAAAGAGGAGGACGAGCCGCAGACCTTCCTGAGCATCGGAGGGCAGGCAGAGTCAACACCCTTCACCTGCACCAGCACCCTGTGTGTGATTGCTCGGCCGGTGTCAGTGACAAAAACATTTTGTGCCAGGTTCAGAACATGCGGGTTCGGGAGGAATGTGGTATCCTGCCAGACTTACAATCTCATGAATGTGATGTTGTGCGAAAGTCCGGGATGATTGTGCTGTAATTGTGGATGGAAACAATTGCGTTGGCAGACTCCCAAGACAGGAAGACTTGTGGCAAATCATGACGGCATCAAGCCTTGGCATGTCAAGTTCAAGCTTGATCATCAGGTAGGTGATCACAGCCACGCATGGCTTTTCTCCGGTGCACATCCACAGTTTCAATAGAGATGTCTAGTGGGGCACATGTCATCTAGAGATTAATTACGAGAAGATTGTCCATAGTATGACTGTCTTGCTGATACTGTGGATTCACGAAATCCTGCACCACTTTGAAACCATGTAAAAGTATTGTTTGTTGGTATTTAGAGGGGAATCATCATTCCAGGGTTTCTTAGGTGGTGCGGCATGGATTTCGCAACCATGCACAATATGAAACCTGAGCCAATGACGTGTAGCTGGCTGCTTGAGAGCCACTCCAAAGCCAAATAAAGGGGTTGCTTCCTATTCCCAGTTGCCTAGCCCAGTGAACCTTGCAAAGACGGGAAACCTGTGGGGAAGAAGGGGTGCTATTGAACAACTGGGACATGATCTGCAAGCAAAACAGATCCAAACTGGAAGCGAGCAAAGCAGGTGTGTGGATCATACACCTGCCAATTGGAACCCGCCACACATTCCCCTTGCTGATTTGCTTGTGTGGCAGCCTGTTGCATGGGAATATCTGGAGACTGGGGGCTCCTGCCAATTCAGATCCCAAGTCGGCCAACCTATATAGGGAAATCCCAGAAGATTCGGACAAGCTCGGCCCTCCCGCCATGCGCGTGATCTTCGGCATCTGAAGAAGCTCTACTAGGGCCTTGTAGTGCTCCTGACCGGCTTGGACGATAGCACGTGTTGCTGACTGGTTGAAAGTAATGGACTCTCACTGCGAAGCAATAAAACAAACAAATAGCCACACAAAACAAAGCAGCACAACACAACACTGAAGAACACGCAACTATACAAATCAAAACACAGCAAAACCAACCGCGACAAATCAACAACAATAAGGGCACACTGGGAACCTAACAAATGTACTTACTGTAGTGCAAAATTATTCAAGCACTTGATCAGAGTAAGACTTTGTCGAGCACACAACTCAAGTGACCAAGCGCATCGGGCTGGTCCGAACCCACCGGAGTGCGTCTGCCAGCGCTTCGGGCCCCAAAACCCGAGGAATCCTTGTGTCCTTCCTTGGTCTCATGGGGCAGCAACCAAAAAGCAGGAGTGTGTGACTACGCAGCTTGTCAAACACCTTCATTTGGATGCTCTGCGCGATTTTGCCCACACGGTTCTAGGGGTTGCTTTGCTTCCCCATTCTTTTCAACCATCGTTCTGTTCAGAAACCAGCGGTTGTTGTTGAGTTTCTGCAGGTTTTCTCGAAAGAAGGATCCCTGGAAAGAATGGGCACCGCTCTGAAATAAGCCATCCCCTCGTATCAGCTCACAGAGCTTGATGAGAATCATTGACCTTCTGTGCCAACCAAAAGACCCGAAATCCACCGCTCGGACGTCGGGTCCTTCAGGTTCTCCGCGCACGCCAGCTCCTGTTCCAGCTGCGAGGCCTGGCAGAGCTGGGGTTGGTCCATTTCCTGCGTGAGGAAGCGGCACTTCACCCAAGGGGCCCATGGGTTGAAGGCCACCTTGGAAGATGACAGATCGCGGTCGTCTAAATTTTGTGGGGGTTCCATGATTATCCATAAAGACCAAGTCGAAGAATTCTTTGACCTGGCCCAGGTGTTTGGCTTTCCGGTTGGTTTGTATTGTTAAGCCGAGTGCAACAACACGCCCATTCGGGGCCCCATTCGGGGGGGGGAGTCCCAATCAAAAAACATCCGCACAGGCTACGGCCGATTCAAAGCAGTTGGCGTAAACTAAATCGGGTGGCTGGGCATGTTCTGGACATTACATCAACTGTACATGCGTGAAAGCCAGGGAAACTGCGTACCCAAAAAGAAAAGGGAACCTGTATGCAGAAGTGTCGCTTTGTTGAGGGTGTTTGTGTGCTTGTGCGCTTGTGGGTGGGTGTGCGCTTGTGGGTGTGCGTGTGTGTGTGTGGGGTGTGTGTGTGTGTGGTGTGTGTGTGTGTGTTTTTTGTGTCTGTGTGTAAGGGGCACCAACACGTTGGAGCTGTTCATCATCCTGAAGCACCAACACGTTGGAGCTGTTCATCATCCTGACAATGATTTTGATCTTTGCTACAGCGAACCTTTCTTGACAATTTCACGAATAGGGAAAACACCAAGGGGGGATCTGCATGCACTGCCGACCTAGGTATTCAGCATCAGGGGCGGCGTCCATATCGTTCCTCAAGAAATCATGTAAATGCCAATATCTTACTCTAGACTCGCTGGACACAAGCCAGGCAGCCCACGCTTGGCATTGCATTCGCATTTCTCCCCCCGCCTGTTGAATTTGCCTTAGCATGGTGAGTCGGCGCTCTCTCGCGAGTTTTTTCCAGCTGCCGGACTCGGCTGCACCACTGTCCCCGACATCCCGACTCTTGTGGCCCGGGCACAGTGGCGGTGCTGCTGCTCCTTCCCGGATCGCAGACGGATCCGCTTGGGCCTCGCTTTGGCGCAGGAAATCTGTGGCATGACTTGGCGCCTCAGCTCCTCGGACGCTGGCGCCCATTCTGGTCGCCCAAGCCTCGACGGCGCTTCGAGGTCAGCTGAACCATGTGGCTCTCGAGCAAAGGACTTTGGGCCGATGTCAAGGGCTAGGTGAAATCACCTGCAAGCATTCCACCGTGACCTCCAAGGCTGCGTTGGCAGGGATGCCTCAGAAGCGGCGAATCCAAACGGAGTACCCTCCCCAACCCACACTCGAAAAGTGCTTGCCAGCCCATGCAATCAGCGCGCTATTGCCTCAAAAACGTACCCAGGTGCCTCCGGAGATCATTCAGAAAACATGATTCAACTCCTCTCTCTGCATTGCTGGTGACCAACACCTGTTGAAACACATGACACCAAAACATTACCAGGCAACTTAAGGCACCACCAAGCAAAAGCCACAGAAAACCAAGCGCGCCTAGCTTCACCAAGCAAAGCGACGAGCAGCACCAAACAAGCAACATACATAACCAAACAGCACCAGGCACCACCAAGCGAAATACAAACAACAACAAAGCTAAGCAACGCCAGCAAAGAACCAAGCAAAGGCAAACAACAGCTAGCAAAGCTACGCAAACAACGTCTCTGTTTTGCAAACAGCGCATTTTGGAGCGTTTTGTTTGTGAGGGTACCCTATTTGGGCTGGTTTGAAGCCCAGCCAAAGGGACATCACACAACAGGACTAGAGCAGGGTCCCCTATCTATAACAAACAAATTAAGCTATTCACAGGGGGACAATGCTAGTGGAAAACTCAGGAAACAAGTCCCTCCGAGGCGATTGGTCACACCACCGACCAGCCACATCAAAAACCAGAAAATAATGATTTCCCCAATATGCCTTGCAAAAGGCAGATACTTGGAGTACGGGTAGGTTCACAATGTGAGTATCTACTTAGTTTCCCTCATCCTCCGTTTACTGAAATTACTCTGAAAACAAATAATACGAACTATGAGTAGAGTGCTAGATTCCCTTTAAACCGACCAGGGAAAATCATAATAATAAAAACACGGACACATATTCCTGAGCAAATGGACGCATTACTTTACAACCGTTGGTATGGTAGCAACAAACTTTGTTTCTTGCAGCCCCCTGCCAAAACATGAACACAACATCAACAAAATTCAACAAACAACTAAAAACCAAAAAACAAGCAACTTAATGGACAAAAAACAACTAAAAGCTGGCCCAGACCACGTCCTTCTGGGACCTCCTCCGTTCTGAGGCTGGGGCCCCAAGCGAGGTGTACGCCTTGAAGCGCCTCCGGGCCAGGCACCCGCAGCAGGCGCTGCTCGCCTGACGTCTGGGGGAAGGCAAGGCACTGGATGGATGGTTGAAACCAGAAATCCGTTCGCACCACGAATGAAACCATTGAAACGAGAACGGTTGTTAGTCTTTACTTTGGGGAATCAAATAATCCAAACAATTCTGCGCTCGAGATGGAGTTCGCAAACATCCACTGCAGAAGGTGGGTAGTCGGCAAAATGGACGTAATCCGGCTCGTAGGTGGTTTATGGAAGTTGCGGAATTTTATCTATCCCAGCTGGTGCAGGATTTGGTCCATGCACGGTATGCTCAGGTAGTGCCTATAGTCCCCTCAATTTCTAAAACCAATCTGGAGGAGACCCCGGTTGGCTTCTCTTACTGTGGCAGAAAAGAATCTGCATAAGTAAACTGCACACATGGTGGGTTGCCTGCCTTCTTCGCATTTGCAGCACCCAGTACAGGCAGTTTTCGCACAATTGGTAGCTGATGTGCAGCTGCAATCGGTCATTGCAGAACTCAACTCCTTACGTGCCCCAACCGCTAGTAGGCTGGAGGCTCAAGTTCACTGCTGTGGGGTGTGGCGCATTTGTGTCTGGCTTACTTAAGGCTCAATGAGCCTTGCTCATACTGATTTGGCATGGCATCCTCTACCCTCCTTGCTCGCGAATGTTGGGTTTCATATTGAAAAGACTTGACGCTGGGGGGAAATCTCTCTTGAAGCTGGCGCTCAGGTGGATCTTGAACCACCTCTTCATGCTGAGGTGTCAAGTTTTAGCCAAAGGGAAAACCGGAACTTTGTCTTAAGCAGAATAATGGTGAAACTTTTCTCTGGGCCCTCCTTTCGGCAGACCTATCAATCTGAACAGTCAGCCGCTGAAGTGAGGCTTGACAACCTGGGGGTTTCGAGCCGCGATTCCTTTCAAAGGTGAAGCGTGCAACTAGCCCTTTCGGGAATTGCTTCAAGAGAAACCCTACAGGAAACATCGGGAAACCAAGCATTTTCGAGCATGTTGCCTCATGAAAGTTCGGTTCCTATGCAACAAAAGGGAAAAAAGAGAAAACAACAAACAATCATTTTGACCGGTCCGGGACCCAGAATCGACGATGCCCGAAATCGGCTCCCGCCCTATTGGGAAACATAGCTCTCGGGACGCTTGACTGGGGCCTTCACCAGCTTCCATTTGCCCAAGCCCACAGGGGAAAAAAACAGAGAGACATATTTCCAGTGATGGGCTCGAATTAAAAAAACAACCAACAAGGCAAGCAACAAATGACTTAAGCAACTGGAGGCCAGTTTTCTGTCAGTTCCAACCAATTGGAGCGCGCTTCGCTTCACGGCGAGGCTCCGGGAGTCATGCCCACGCAGCCCAGGTCCAACCCGTAGAAGACCTCTCCACCGCCTGCCTGACATCGGAGAAGGGAAGGGTAGATGCTGCGCCCACCAGACCTATATGAAAATCAAACAAAAGCACGAGGGTTTCAACCCCCCCTTCCCAAAACCCGTGCAGAACTTCAAAGGTATACATCCAATGGGGGGAAAAGGGAAGACGTGCAGGTCGGGCACTTGGTGGACTACAGGGCCAAGTTGAACCAGGGCAAATTTCTGTTCTGGCCAGTAAGTCAACAAGTCATCCCTTGTCTTCCTGGCCAAGAGCTTCCCGTTACCTGCCTTCCCCAGTCCCTTGTCTTTTTTCTCTGAAAGCCTGGCTCGGGACGTAATTTTCGAAAGCTCCAGTTCAAACTTTGCATGTCTTCAGCACAAGTGTACACGACGTACACTTTGGAAATCCAAACATTGCATGAGGGATCATGTCAATGTGGCATCGTTGTGTGATTCGCCTACAGTGGGGATCAAGCATTGTCTAGGAAAGCCACTGCGTAAAGCCAGCCCTGTACATGAAACCTGATTCGCTCCCCACCAAAACAACACGTTTCGCAGAGATCAACACCTGAGACGGAATGTTCGTTCCCTTCAAGTCTCAAGACAGGAGCCGCAAAGGACGCGGCGTTGAGGTCATTTCCTCTTTCCCCTGTCCCCCCTCCCCCCTCCCCCCTCCCCCCTCCCCCGAAAAGTCAGGTTCTCATCATGCCTCTTGGCTGTGTCGAATTCTTGTGCTGGCCAACCGCTTTCAAACATTCCCCTTTGAGACATCCAAAGCACCTGGAACTCCATCGTCTGTCCAACCTCCTCGAGCGCGCAGGCAACAAGAATGATAATTACCGACCACATCAACTTGTCATAAGACCAAAGTGGTAAAGGCCTACCCTGAACCCATGCCATTTGTAGTTTCGCCTGTTGTCAATATGGGAGAGGATCGGCAAAAAACGGGCCGGACCAAGGACTCGCGTGCAAGGAACGCTTGCAGCGAGAATCCTAAAGGGCCGCGAAGAGACAATTTGTGAGACCTAGCTCAACTCGCGGTTCAAAATCAAAACCGCTAGCGGGAATGAATCCATATCCCGCAATCTGCAAAACTGCTTGGGGACGACCACCCACCACTCCGCAATCTGCTGGCAATCGAATTCTTCGATCAATGTGCGCCGTGCACCAAGCGGGTCCCGCACATCGCGGAAACCCTTTGCTCGTTCGCGCATCCCGCGAAGGCAACCCCCCTTTAGCCAGAGGTCAACATTAAGGGTTTGGGTCCGGATGATTATGGGTTCAAGCTACAACCGAATTCCAGCCGAA